CCTGACCCGCAGGGCTACCAGCTGCAGACGGCCTCCGCGCCGCAGAGCCCCCTCATGGCGCCCCTGGACGGCACCGCGATGACCGCGCCGCGGCCCCCAGCCGCCACCCCGCCCGCCACGCCCGGCAGCGCCAACACGCCCGTCGCCACGACGCCGGCCGTGCTGGAGGTCGCCGGCGGGAACCCCTGGGCCTCCCGGCCTGCTGCCGCCGCACACTCGCCCGGCGTCGCCCAGGGCTCGCGGCCCGCAGTGCGCCCCGCTGTGGCGGCCGTCGAGGACGCGGCGGCAACGACGACGACGCCCACGTGAACTCTGGCCATTGGCCATCAGAGACAAACATAAGCCAAAGCAGTGCGTGTGGACAGACCGTCGCCGTGGGCGTGGGTGTGCGGGAGTCACTTATTCGGTAGCTGTTTAATGTTCCATCCCTCTCCGGTCCCCCATAAAATTCGCCCTTAGTCTGATGAGGTCATAAAATCTACGTTCGCAAGAGAGTAAGAAGTTTCATATCGACATAGCGATGTTTGAACCAACGATCATTGTTGTGCGTCTTTCTTGCCTATTACTTTTATGAAACATGTCTCTTACCACAAAGATGGGCTAGGATTTCGGTAAAGAGAGGAGTATACATCCCTCAACCCTCGAGCCAGTCCAAGATAAAACCCCTGCTAGATAGGCCAAAGAGCACTGCACTTTGCGTTGCCCCAAGTATGTCGCCCTCCCCTCCTCGCCGTAAATCCCTCTGCATATACCTTTGCATTGGAGAGAACCCGAGACACGCCTGAACCCATTCTTTCTACAAATTTTACAACTTTTCTTGATAAGTACTGATGCACTAATTATGAGCGCACCAATTAGTGTTTTTAAATGATGGAAGCATTTAAGCTAACCGCATTGCTATGTGAATAATGGCCCAACCGCCCCAGCCCGAGTACCTCCCTAGTAGCATGGTGTCTCCATCTCCACGCTTGAAGCGCGGATCCGAGGCATCAGTCGCTATATCCACTTCGGAATTAGTTGCTTTCACCACTTCCACCCGGCGCCTACGCCGGCGTGAGGGGCGAGCGGGGAAAGGGGGGTCATTCATTCAACCGTCGTGAGCGTATGCGCAATGAAACGAACGCTTATGAAACAACACCATAAGGAAATCACAGGTTTTAATTGTTTCTATTTTTTTTAAAAGTACTCACTAAAAACCAAAGAAAACCACCCTGAAATAATAGATAATAATTGCAAAACCGAGTCCATTTTGAATTTTATGTATCACATCTTAAATGTTGTTTTTTTTCTTTTTCATTGTTAACTGTTTTTTATCTCCTTGATAGTTATGAGGGGGGAAGAGGCCCTGTTGCATTCACTAAAATGTTTTGGAAAAGCATGCAGTTTTAATGTCAAGGACTTTTGATCACAAGGGAGGGCAGGAAAATTTGATCAGTGGATTTGTTTCATCAATATTCATGGCAAAACCCTACAGTATTGATAGAATCACCTGCTAATAATCAAGATCAGGAACACATTCATTACTAAAAGACCAATCAGAACTGAAAATATTGAAGTGTGAGTGCCATTAAATATTATTAGGTGTGTGAAATAAGGGCTGTGTTTATGACCAATTGGATCTGTGTTGTGTATTGTGATGAATGTATCTACATAATTAAAAAAAAAAACTCAAAAAAATCTAGATGGCCTAGTGTATTGTGAGCTCACTTATTCAGACACATACATGCATTTGAATACTAGGAACAAAGTACAAGAAAAACAAACATTAGAAAAGGACCAATTCAGGACCACCCGCTATTTTAAGCTAATGGGTCAGGAATATTTTTGTAGTAATGGAAGCAAGGCATTTGAGTTTCACCAGTCTTGATTTTATTTTAAATCTATTAAAAACTGGAGATAAGGCAACAATCAATTTTAATACAACAAAAGACTGGCAATTTCATCCATTTCAATACATTAAGTGATCTAAAAATATTTTTCAAAATATATGAACACAGTACCACACCTAACTACTCATTCCTTACACAAGGAAAGCACAGAGCCAAACATTCAATGAAATAGAACCATCAAGTTAAGACAACTGCTTCGGTACTGTGGAAGAATTGTGGAAAGCAATATTAGATTTTTATTAAGACAATAAAAATTTTATTGCAGTGGAAATACTCTAACAATACTACTAATGTTAACACTTACACATAGAATTTCATCGTAACATAATAAGTCTGATAATTCTAAACACAGCCTATGCCATTCATTTAACTCCAAATCAATAAGAGAAGATTGAATTATAATATTAAACCTTAATTAATTAAGAAGATCTAATTAGTCACTCATCTTTGATTACATAATAATGAAATTGGCACGATTTACAGGTTTCTCATGTTGGGTAGGTAAAATGGAGAAAATCAAGAATGAGTGATCAATGTATCTTCCCACAAGACAAAAGTAGTCTTTAATCTTTAAAATATAATTGAGCCAAACTTTCTCAACTTGGATTATAGATTGACATATTGACTTAACTTATAGCACACCTTTGCAGACAAGATCAGAAATACATTTCAACACTATCCCATGTCATCATGGTACAATCAAGGAGAGAGATTTCTCTATATATTTACGATTTGGACTAGTACAAACTTTTTCTCACAAATGCTGATTTATGATTGAGTAGTTCCGTGGAGGTTGCGGTGTTTCCTCATGTCACTCCTCTGCCTAAAGCATTTCCCACATATGTCACATATATTAGGCTTTTCACCTGTGTGAATGCGTTTGTGAACAACTAGTGTGTGCGACCGTTTGAATGCTTTCCCACAAACATCACAAGGAAATCTTCTTTCTCCAGTGTGAATCATGCGATGTTGATAATATACCTGGATGAGGGAAGAAATGCACAATAAAATTTAGAAATAGAAAAAATTAGCAGGTAAAATTGATAAGCAACTGACTTCTGTAGTGTTTATACATACCTGTCCCGTCCTGAACTGTTGACCACACCATTCACACTTATAGGGTTTCTCACCGGTATGAGTGCGTCGGTGATTGTCGCGATCTGCTTTGATTCGGAACCCACGACCACACAAATCACAAGAATGGGGTTTCTCACCAGTGTGTATGAGAGCATGAGTATACATAGAACTGGTCTGGGAAAATCGACGGCCACACACAGAACATTCGTAAGGCTTGATACCCGTGTGAATCTGCATGTGCTCCAAAAGTCTTTGTTTTTCAGCAAACTTTTTATGACAAACTTGGCACATAAGATTTTTCTCTTGGCGTGCTTGATGGGACCGTAAATGCTTTTGATAAGGTCGTTCGGACATGAATCTACAAATATGAAAACGCGCAGATGTTAACATAAATGTGGCATGTGAAATTCCAAAATACCATAAAAAGCCTATATCTTATTTTGATTCTTACCCTTTTCCACACTCATCACAAAAGTAGAGCTTAGGAATGAGAGAATGTTTGCGGCGCTTTTTCTTTCCCACTTCGGGTTCAGATATATCTTCCTGATTGGTATGAGTCCTGCGATGTTCTCTTGCCTCATACAAAGTGCCCGCAGTAGAACCACAAATACTACACACATAAGGCTGCTCATCGGGGTGCATTTCTCTTCTATGTTTGCCCAAAGAATTTCCGTGAGAGAATACATCACCACAGTACTCACAAATGTGTACCTGTTGAGTAAAAATTGAATAAGATGGAAGTAGTACAATTATTACCATTCTTATTGAAACCTGGATCACTTACTTTGCTGGGGTCTACAGCTTGCCCTTCCTGAACAACCCAATGTCGAGTGCGATGCAGAACAACTTCTGATGATGTGGTAAAAGTTTCCTGACAAATTTTACATTCATAGTGAATAAGAGATGGAGTGCGTTTTTTATTAATCTGTTCACCATGGAATAATGCTAAATGCTTCTTGAGTAAATGTTTTCGACCACAATAAGTACCACAATGTTCACATTGATAAGGCTTCACATTCATATGCACAACCATGTGACTCATCAAAGTATCCTTGTCCATAAACTTCTTGTCACACATCCTAAGGAACAGAACGAAGATTAATACCAATTTCAGCAAGGGAGAACTTTTGTGTCATGAAAATGGAACAAGCAACTTACTTGCACGGGAAAGGTCTATCTCCTGTATGGAAATTCATGTGAGTTTTCAGTCTAGCATTAGAATGGAATCTTTTACCACAAGTTTCACAAACAAATGGCTTTTCTCGTTGATGAACACTCCTTGAGTGATGGTAAAGTGCACTTTCAGTTTCAAACATCTTGCCACATGGTATGCAGAGATTTGCTGGAGCACCATCATGAAACTGCTGATGGAACAGAAGTCTATCTTCTGATGTGTAAGCCTTTTTGCATTGCAGACATCTAAATGCTCGTTTCTCCTAAAATGAAGAACAGACAGTCAAGATTGGATTCAACACACACAAAAAAAATTCCAACTTGTACCATAATTTTCAAAAACACAGAACTGCTTAATTAGGTCAGTTTTACCTTGCTTTTGGCAACAACAGCACATTGATGTTTTTCCATGGTGGTTTCCTTGTTAAAACGACGTCCACAAGTTTCACATTGGAGTCGGTTCAGAGCTCGTCGTCTCCTGTTTAGTTCCTCTTCTCGATGCTCTTTGAAGTGCTCAAGCAGGTCTTCTATACTTTCAAAAGCTAGGTCACACAGAGCACATGGATTGCTATTTACATCAGCATGTACCTAAAAAAGATAATTTTTTGTTAAATTTTTCTGATTATATGAAAATAATACAGCATTTTTATGAAAAAACATGCATTAAAAAGACCTTTGAATGTTCTAATGCAGGTTCAAGGGCAGGGAATGGTTCACCACAGTGTCGACAAATGGTGTCCCGTTCAATTTGAATTACTTCATGCCGTCCATCCTCAAGCTGCATCTGAATTTCCATTTCTTCAGGTATAGAAGCCAAATTTTCTGAGTCACTCATGGGGTAGCTGCATTCTGTACCCAAGTCTGACCTAGAAAATCATACATATTTGTTCAGGCCTTCACCATGATTTGCAATGTTGAAATTGATACTGCATAAGTGCAACATACTTGTCATCATCATCATTCCACAGATCATCTGTGTTGCCAACAAAAGTTGCATAAACTCCAGCTGTTGTATTTAGCTCAGCAATGATACCATCCGCTTCTTGACTTCCTTCACCATCCCCTTCTGCTTCAGTAGTTTCAGAAGAGTCATCATCTTCATCGAAATCCTCTTCCTCTTCCTCCGAGTCTTCAATTTTCATGCCGGGCATGAGTCCTGGTGCATTTCTCAAGTGACGAGCTTTCCTCCTGAATGCACGCACTAACTCTCTCTTTTGGTGCCTAAAGTTTGAAATAAAGAAGATCATTAGATTTTCAAGTACCATATTCAGCTTAGTCTAAGACCCCCTTTTTCACCGAAGATTCGTCTCGGAAGTAGCAGGGGGTCTTGTATGCCCAGGTTAAGCAAAAAGGAAAAGGGGTCCCGAACACTTCAGAAGCCCGAAAACACGTTAAATACACTTTAAACACGTGTCGACGCCTCCCGTTTATTTTATTTTTTTCTGAATTAAAAGCCTTAAAAGTGGAAGGGGTCTTGAGGGTCTTAGACTCAGGTAAATACGGTATGCAGTTATGTTCTAGTCCACATTGATTCAAGGTGTAGAATTAGCTACTAAAGTTAAAAAAACAGTAACTCACATTCCATCAAACTCCACATCTGGTTCAGAATCAACATCCTGAGTCATGCTTCCTTCCACACAAAGGGGACAGCAGTAGTCAGAACCAACAAGTCTCAAAGAAGTAGGAGCTTTCGACGATTTTGATTGTAAATCATTCTCATCTGCCCCATTTTGATCATTTTCATTATGAAGTGGAGTATGTGCATTTGGGACAACACCTGTTGTTTCTTTAGTACCACGCTTCAAGACTTTGAAATTTTTCTTTTTTGTGAGAAGACGAAGTTTTTCCTCTGCCTGAACACACACTTCAGCAAACTCGTGATATTCATCCAATTTTGATTTACAGTCAACACACAGCTGTTTGGGCAATGGATCAGTCCTTTTAACCTGTTGGCAGGAAAAAGTGACAGATTAGACCACAGCATGTACCCAATACATTCACAATAACTCTGTAAGACAATCATGCAGGTAGAAAGGTCAGACCAGTTCCATAGTTACATTCTTGCACAATAGATATAACATTTTTCAATTTCTCAATGTGGGATTGAAAAGCAGAATACAGAACAGTTCACTATTAAAAAGCTAGAGAAGCAACCTGAAGCCCAAGCTACATTTGTCAATCATTCTTTGGGGCTGTGGTCTGATCACAATTTAGTCTCGCATTGCTGCCTTTTCCAACCCCAGGATGCACAGCCACACTGAACGAATTAAATGGCAAGGGACACTTGATATTCCAGCTTCAGTTTACTTCAGCTTTAGCCTCATGACTAAAACAACATTTACTATCGGAGGAACAGTCTTAATATGAACACTGTTGGGCTTCTCCAGCCACCTACATATTTGAGGTGAAGAGAAAGTAAAGAACTTACTGTAACAGGTAAACAAATGTTGATTTTGGCTGCTAGCTCCAAGTCTTTTCCATTTTCACTGAATATATAAACAGGGTCACTAACAGTATTTGCACAAAGCCGACACAAAAGACCAGGGTGTATGGTGTCTGAATCATCGTCCAATTCAAATTCATCCTCAGCATCCATTCCTTCATCATCATCTTCTTCATCATCACTTATGATATCCCCCATGATGTTCTCAGCACTTACAGAACCAGAAACATCCATACTGACTACTGGCATATCAGCTGAGAGTAATGTTATGGGAGAGGAAGTACCCACATCCACAGGTTCCATTTTGACCATTACTGGTGTTGATTCATTTACTGAAAACGAAAGTTGTATAAAAAAAAATGTTTAAATACAAATGATATGTATGCAAAATTTTATTTTGAGCTAAAAACTTAAGTTTATACTTGGGCATTATTTTTTTTTTTCAGTTGAAAATTAAAGTGATAAGGAAAAATACTAGAGACATTGTCAGACTGCTCTGAATATACTTACTTTGGATGGAATCAGAGTGAAGGGCATCTGGAGTTATAAATTCATTGCTCTCCTCAGAGTGCCAAGTAAAGATGCTGGGGATAGCTTTACGCTTTAACACTTTTCGAGATGCATTTGTGAACTGATCCAGTGCAAAATGGTCAGAGCAGATAGCATAGTGATGATTCAGAAATGCAGGGGCTTTGTCAATGAGATCAGTTCTTCTACAGGCCACAACCCAGTGCTGGCATCTGAGACAAGAAGACAAACATCAGCCCCAAATTGAATTGTAATGCACAGTAGTCAGAGAAAGTTAATGTTAAGTTAGAGGGATTAGAAGCTCCCACATTTTGGCTCCTGGCATGACTTTACCATAACATTCCAGACCAAATTTTGAGAACTACTGTGACTTTTAGCAATTAAATGTACCAAAGGACCTCAAAGGCAGAAAAGAACACCCAAAATTTGTGAGCTACCCGAATTCATCACATATTCAAATTTCCCATTTTTCCCCTCTGACTTTCCAGGTTTTCCAGACTTGCAGGAAGCCTAGCTGAGTACATACCGGTTAGCAGTGTGAATTGGAAAACGGAAAAATGACCGATCGGGTGTAGATGACTTTGAATTGCCACAGCCTGGCACAGCGCACTCTAACGGTGGAATATCCCATCTCCCTTGATCAGGTACAGGTTCACGAGTCTTTTTATCAGCAGCTGTAGTGTATTAAATGGAAATTAATTATACAGAACCTGAGATGAACATGCACTTCAATACAATGCTCCCGATAATTTACCTGGGGAAAAATATTCAACAACTAAAGTGTCATCAGTGAGAGGCTTTCCTTGAATCTTCAGTTGGTTGAAGTCAAATGGAATTCCCATTTGAGTTTGGATCCGATTCTTCAGATCCCCTACCGTATCCTGTGCGTGCACTTGAACTGTGATAGATTCCCCAGATACACTCTTCAAAACAACCTTCATGATGACAGCTAAAACAAACAGAATTCAGGACAATTAAAATTTGACCAACGATTAGATAAATATTTAACACTAACACACCAGAAACATAATTTCTGAGATTCAGACAGTTGGGGGAAAACTGAATAACCAAAGAAATCAGCAATGGGCAAAAGAAATGTACCAATTTATAATACAATTCTTTAAGAGGTAAGAATAAAATCACAGTCGGTGGTAAAATAAAATTTACAGACTGATCGAATACTGAGCATTCCCTATGCATATAACATTAACACACTTAACGAAAAGAATGTCGCATATCGGTCAGAGTAACAATCTCAACTCACACAACCAGGGCCTACCTCATCCGGAATCCACAACCACTAAATGATACACCTCCAAGTGGGCTTGCCTGAATCAATTATGATTACTAACAGAGGCAACAGAAAATAAACATGAGTACTAACACCCGCCGACAAAATATTTCAATCTGGAGAGCCTTCTTGAAAAACTACAAAAACCCTCGCTATTCGGCAAGGTGGCGTCTCTTCGCCTTCGCTCACGCAAAACGTAACGGTTGCATGAAGGATGGCGTTGCTTGAAGAAGTGCGTTCAAGTGTACTTTCCTCCCGTGTTCCCCTCTCAGTAATAAAAATACAGACTTTGATTGACTAGTAATTGTTGTACAGTTAATATTGAATCGCATCTCGTAAAATTCAAGATATTTTGGTTTAAAGAGAATTAAAATCTGAAGTTGATTTCAAATTTGTTGGCAAGATTTCGTTTATGTAGGAAAGACCAGTATGACCTTTAACTTTGGGCGGGGAATAGGGATGTTGTTTTCTTAATTTCTTCTTCGAATTTCATCTTTGCGGTGTTCGGTGTTCTCACGTGAAAGTTGTCTGATTTTCAAGTTCATGAAAATTTCTGATATGTTTTTTTGTGCAGTGAGGTGTTGATGTTATCTTAAAAATCCTCTTACTATGCTGAGATCCAAGAAAGACGTCGATAAACATGTCCAGGAGGTGTTTCGCAACATCAATGCCGAAAAGGAGGTAAGGATTCGACCATTCGAGACTCTCCATTTTGCAGGTTGGAGGCCGAAGCCGGGCGTCAATCGCATTTTTACCGATTCCAATTGATTAGACTTCAGTATTCCGTATTTACTATGCTAGCAACTCCCCTAACAAGGTTCAACATATTCTTTACGCCTGGTTACTCTTTATTATCTCCAAAACTAACACTTGCCAGTCGCCCATTGATGTTTCCCAAACACATTTACGTTCAAACCCTTGTTGATTACCTGACCAGAACAAACTCAGCTATTTTCATGAGTGCTCTGAATCAGTCTCAAATTTCACTATAACACTTGAATCATGAAATTGTTCATTTTTTTTGTCTCTAAAACATTGTTTACAGGTTGTTATACAGTTGCAAGACTTGCATCAAGTCAGTTTTCCTTGTCTACCATTTTTCGATAATTTAATTTTTCTTTCAGAGAAACTTACGATGCTACAATGTTGCCAAACTCTATCTCAAGGTCGGTGACTATCAATCAACTAAAAAGTATGTTGAATTGTACTTGAAGGATCGTCCAAATGTGGCAGGTGCTCACAAACTTCTTGGTCAGGCTTTTGAGGGGCTGAAAGATACGACTAAGGCACTAGAGGAGTATAAGTGTTCTTTGAGTCTGGAGAGTAGGCAGCCAGATCTGGTCTTGAAAGGTCTGTTATTTTTGTTTGTTTTTCTTTTTATGCTTTTATTTCTATACTTTTAACTGTTATCTTCTCTATGTATTGCCTTAACCTTTTTCTCTTTGCAGTGTGTGACCTTCTTGTAGAATCTAAAAGTAGACTTAACTCAGGTGAAGTAAAGTATTGGATTGAACGAGCTCAAGAGATATCTGATAATCATGAAACAGTTTTCCGTTTGAATGAGTATATGATAAAAATGGGAGATGGCTCAGGAGATCAAGCACAATTGGCTCAGCTTATTGAGAGTACGATGTCCGACATCAGATCTGACTTCTTTTTCTTTCCTATCTCAATGTAATAGCATTTTAATTGTTGTTTTTGTCCTTGATGTTTTTAGAGGAAATTGAGGCCCGCCCACAAGATCCTCTCCCCAGAACAAGGCTTTTAAATTTCTACTTGGACTCAAAGCGGGTGTCAGATGCATATAAATATGCCGTTGATTTAGAAACTCGATGCTTATTCAGAGATAACATTCAGTGGTACTCATGTGTTGTGGAAGTTTTTAAGGTATTTATAGTTTTAAAAGTCTTTGAACCATCTTTTAATTGAATAAATTACAAATGGTTTTTCCACCTCTTAGGCTTATCAACGGGATGTAAAGAATATTGATGGAGAGTTTTACATCTACTTGCTCTGTGTGCTGGAACGCCATACTGCTTTATGCTCCCAAGAACAGTCGTCAGAACACTTTGCCCCTTTCAGCAGTGCTCTCCATGCTCTTGACCAAGCTTGTTATGAAGCCTCGAAGTATAGCAAAAAAGGTGGAGAGCAGCGATTAATAGAATGTTTGAAACATGTCAGCGGTCAGTTATGTTTCCATCTGGGCACAGCCCTTTTGCGTATTGCGAAACAAAAAAGAACTGGTTGGAAAGAATGGACACCTTTTGCATGGGCGCTCATGGCTCTTGCCTACACTAGTCCTGAGAGTGATGACTTTGCCTCTAATAATCCTTCTCAAAGTGGCAGAGAAAGGCAGAAAAAGCTAATGAAATTTTGGAAGGAGGGTTGTGCTTTCCGTTGCACCCAAGCTGGTAAGTTTACACGTTCTATGAATATTGTGTAATCTTGTGTACTTTGTTTCATTCTCTAGTATTTTTTAAATTCTAATATATTTGATGACAAACTTAGGACACATTTTGCTGAGTATGCCTAATGAGAAGAAGAGATTTAATCAACTGAATGGAGGGAGTTGGCGAGAGAAGATTTACAAACTGATGTTTGCAGTTCACATCCAAGGAAAGCCAGATGTTGTAAAGTCTTCTTATTTTTTGACTGATGATTGTTTTGGTGATGTTCAGGAGCCATCACCATCTGTAAGGGATATATCCCAACATGACATTTGTAAGTACTTGAACAATTTTCATTCAAAACAAGTGAATTTGTATGATTGCTTTTATCTGATTGCTTATGCCCTATGTATTTCTGATATTTTATCTTGTAGTGGCTCAACATCAAAGGCCAGATTCCCTTCATTTCATGGTTTGGTTGGGCTTAAGGTATCTTGAGCCGACCAATAAACGCAATCCAAGTTTTGGCACATCATGTGTCTTTCCATACAGACTGTCAACTAACTTTGGTTGTCATGTTTTTGAAGAGCTTAAACTGTCGACAAGTGGCTTGGAATACGGGGGTGTGGAGACACTTAGTAGATTGGATATTGATACATTTTTGTTTGCATCAGGTCAGTCCTGTGACACCTCTTCTAAATCACCTTGTTTGACTGACAGAGGTAAACCATTGGTTGTCAATACCTAATGGTGCTTTCTGTCGGCCGCTTGTTGGTGTAAAGAAGAGGGACACTATCAAACTGTTTCCTCCTTTGATCAATGCGCGCCGCTTACAGTCCATTGCAATCAGTCAAATAAGGCGATTTGGTAGTGCTTGAAATCTCACCTATACCTTTTTTAAAATTAATATTGCAATATACTAATGCATTTTGCACAGTTTTCTGTGCTGCGGCACCTGATCGACAGTTCACGCCAGAAGAGACACCCTTGGTGTTACCAGTTGATCTCACAGAGTCTTTGTGCACTGAAGCTCAAAGTAAGTGGTGGTCATCTGCGTACCGTCTTCACTCGAATAAATCTCGTAATGATATTGGAGAGGTACGCATGATTGTCTCAAGAGGCCTTGAAGTTGTTCGCCTAATTGGTAATCATGGAATGGATGTTAGACTGGTGGTTCTTCTGGCAAAATTCTTCACTGAAAAGGTGAGAACTAACCCTTATGATTTGTCTAGAAATTCAGGATATCTTATTCATGTCATGTGACAATTTTGTTGGCTTTATTTGTGGACAAGTGTTTGGACAAACAAAACTTGGAACATAATAATTCTCTTTTCCTGTAATTGTCTCTTTATTTTTAAAACTTTGAAATTTGTGTGGAAGTCCAGAAAAATGCTTGTCCTACTGACTGTAGTCAATCAAAACTTTCTTGTTATTTTCTCAGGCCTCTGATATGTCGACCCCAAAAGACAACTTGCCTGATATTTATAAGAGGGCTCAAATGTTTTGGCAGTGTGCAATCACATTATTAGAGCGTATAGAGAAAAAACATCCAATTCGGATGCCTGTAAATGCCTTGTTTAGTTATGGGGGAAAAGAGCTATCAAGTTCTGATGTCAGACAGCTGCTTGAAGAAGGTCGCTTTTTCATGGCATGCCGTCTCATGAAGGAAGAAAAGTATGACAAAGCCATTGAAGCTTTGCAGGATCTGAAAAGCCCTTATGCATCTTACTATGAAGGATTGGTGAGATAATTGACTTCTTTTGTTATTGTATGATTGTTTATTGTTTTAATTTTAGTAGTTGCAATTATCTATCTATATATTATTTACTATTTTTCCAGATCTACAAGAAGCTTGCTGATGCTGAGCAGGAACTGCTCAGTGGGGATACAATGAATCCAGATATTAAATCATATTATGTTATCTTACTTCAAAAAAGTCGTACTGCATTTTACCTTACGCTAGATCGTTTACGCTCTCCTCAAAATTCTGGTGTCACTCTTTTGGATGGTGAGTTAGAGAGGCACCTTGAAGAAGTTGAAAGTTCTCTCAACCCATTGCTTCCTGGTAAGTAAATGAATATTCTTCTGTCTTCTCTCTTGCTCCTTTCTTTTTCTCAATCAAATTCTATTTCAGGCTTTAATGGAACTGCCCATGTTGGTGTTGATGAAAGTTTCTCAACCAAAAGGCTGGATGAATCATTTCAATCTGCTCCCCATTTTGCCTCTTTTCATCACACCTTACTTTCTAATACTGGTCTGCATGGACATCCTGATGTAACAAGCACTCCTTTCAAAGGGAAACCAAACATTGATTCAGATGCTACATATGACTCGTCTAGAAGAGAAGTAAGATACTGTACTAAACATTAATTTTTGCACCAGCTAATATCTTAATTTAAATTAAAACTGCTTATCTTTTGTTGTTAGGAAGCTCGTCCTAGTCCGGAGAGGCAAGAGGCTCAAATGAGGCGAATGGCTCTCACATTAGAGAAAGTGTTGGAGCAAAATAGACAGATCATGGAACAAAGTCAACTCACACTTGATGCATTGAGTAAAACAAGAGGGGCAATGGATGACCTCCAAAAGCAAATGCGTGATATGCGACTTGAAGTTACAACTCTCAAGCAGAGTGACAATCGCGCTCAGGCTGGGACCACTGCGTTTGCGCCTGTTCCTTCAGCAGAAGAATATGATTACTATGCTAGAGCTCGCCCTTATAGAGTTTTTCAGGAAGCTGAGAACTTGTGTCCAGCTTACAGCTATGACAATCGTCAAGCTACTGCATCTGGTGTTCCAATGTCCTCCATGCTACCTAAACCATTTCAAACATTGTTTCCTGATAACCAAGTACCTATGGCAAGGAATATTGATCCTAATCTTTTACCAATTTACTATCCTCAAGCTACTCTAGCGCAAAATTTATATGAAAGGCAAGGAGCAGGTGGAGTTGCTATTTCTAATACATTGCCTGGAATGTTATCAGGTAATGCAGTGCATGCTAACACTCTTGCTACACCCATGTCGAGTAATATGCAGAGTTCAGTTCAAGTCCCTGTTGATGGTGCAACAATTGCTATGGATTCCTATAGAAAATCATTATTGGGGACACCTATTTTATCTCACTCAAGTTTGACAACTCCTGCAGTAGACCTGTCTTCATCTGCTGTGCAATCTCTCAACCAATCTCAACATCTACCAACTGCTGATTCAACATCTCAGCGTTTGTCTCAGCATTTTAATCCATCATTGCAGAACCTTCAAAGCAAAAGTTTGATTCCGCAAGCTACAGAACCAGTTCCTCACAACTTTCAAATTTCTATGCCACCACAGGCTACAATTCCTACTACTGAGTCTCTTGAGAAGTCTCTTTCTCCTCTGAAGCCAATATCAACAGAAGGCATACTGCCGAATGTTCCAATGCCAACTTATTCTGCAGTGGCTTCACGGCAAACAGAAGTGAAACAAAGCCGTCTATCAGCAGGATCCACCAGTGGGAATGACACCTTCACAGAAGATGCTGACTACAACCCATGTGCAGACTTCAAGCCAATAATACCGTTACCAGAAGAAATAACTGTAACAACTGGTGAAGAAGATGAAACCCCTCTCTTTAGTCGAAGAGCTAAGTTGTTTAGATTTGTTGGTGGTGAGTGGAAAGAGAGGGGAGTAGGTGATATTAAGATCCTTAAACACAACGTAAATGGCAAGTTGAGGATTCTTATGAGGCGAGAACAAGTTCACAAAATCTGTGCAAACCACTTCATATTGCCTGAAATGGAGCTAGCCCCTCAAACTGGCAGTGACCGTGCTTGGTCATGGGGAGCAAATGACTTTTCCGATGGAGAAGCTCGTATTGAGAAGCTGTGTGTCCGCTTTAAGACTGTGGAAGATGCCCAACAATTCAAAGAAGCCTTTGATGAGGCCCGTAAGCTAGCTAAGAGTGCAACTCCTTCAAAGGGGACCACACTTGGGGCTCCAGCTACTTCAACGACACCTGTTGGAAGTAGCAAGTCAAACCTTCAAGCCTCGCCTGTCACAGGTAAGGTGGAATTAGGAGGATTTTCCTTTATTTCACCTCCTGTTCTCAAACCTGTTGAGGGACAAGGAAAGACAGCGCCTGGCAAAGAAAAGGAAACTGCTAACACTCAACCAAAACCTAGCCCATTTGCTGGATTTTCATTCACTGCCTCCTCGCCTGTCAATAGTTTTGGAAGTCTAGCCCAATCAGCTTCAAGTGCTACTAGCCAACCTAATACATTGGCTGCAACTGCGACTGACAGAGTTGCTTCTACTCCAGCTCTGTCATCACTAAGCACCAAGGAATCCAAAAGTTCAGTTCCTTTCTCCACCTCTATTTCCACTCCATTATTTAGCAACAGTAGCAGTCTACTTGACTTTGCTTCAATTGCATCTCAAAACAAAAATTCTGATGTTGCCCAGAAGGATGCTAACTTTAAAGGTTTTGCAGGAGCAGGTTCTAAAGTTTTTGGTGCTGTTTCATCTACCAGTGATGCAGGCAATAAAAGTACCACAGATCCTGAAACTGCAGATGCGGAGACGTTTGAACCAACTGCTGAGTTTAAGCCAGTAATACCTTTGCCTAGTTTAATTGAAGTACGAACAGGTGAAGAAGATGAAGATGTGCTGTTTGAAGAACGAGCTAAACTCCTAAGATTTGATTCTACTGGAACCCAATGGAAAGAACGTGGTATTGGAAAGATGAAAGTTCTTAAAAACAAAACTACAGGCAAAGTGCGACTGCTCATGCGTCGTGAACAGGTGCACAAAGTGTGCTGCAATCACTTTATTACCAAAGACCTTCAATTTACACCTCTTATCACAAGTGACAAGGCGATTACTTGGTCAGCCCAGGATTACGCCGAGGGAGAGGTTCGTGTTGAGGTGTTTGCATTGAGATTTAAGACTCCAGAGTTGATGCTTGTTTTCAAAGATGTTGTGGAAAGAGTCCAGAAAGAAGTTTGCAACTCTCCGCAAGGTAATCCTACAACTGGTTCAAAAGAAGTAGTTTCTAAAAATGATTCAAAGCCATTATCAGAAGTTTTCAAACCTAAAAAGGGCTCTTGGGAATGTTCTGCCTGTTATACTCGAAATGATGCTGAAAAGACTTGCTGCGGATGCTGCTCTCAACCTAAGCCAGGATGTGAGGTTAAATCTTCCACTGGATTTATGTTTGGTAATTTATCTAATGCAACTCAAGACAAACAGCCATCTCTCTCAGAGATATTTAAACCTAAAGAAGGCTCTTGGGTATGTCAAGCATGTTATACAAGATGTGATCCAGACAAAATGGCTTGCCTTGCCTGTGAAGCTCCAAAACCAGGACATGGAAATGATAGCAAACCTGGCAAGACTGGTTTTACCTTTGCAACAAGCGAAGCGTCTTCTACAACCAAAGACAAACAGCCGTCTCTTTCAGAGTTATTCAAACCCAAGGAAGGCTCTTGGGTATGTCAAGCATGTTACACAAGATGTGATCCTGACAAAGTAGCATGCCTAGCATGTGAAACTCCAAAGCCAGGACATGAAAGTGATAGCAAGCCTGCAAAGAGCTTTAGCTTTGGAAAAACTGAAGCTTCTTCTACATCGTACTCATTTGGAATTCCTAGTTCTGCTGCCCCAAAAGAATCAAAAACATTTTCATTTGGGCAAGCAGCACAAGGAGAATCAAAACCAACCTTTACATTTGGCTTACCACCTTCATCTGTATCAACTACAATTCCTCCAACAGCCAAAGGGTTTAGCTTTGGTTCTACAATCACAACTACAGCTCCAACATCTACAGGTTATGTATTTGGAGCATCAACTGTTGCCCCTAGCCAACCCACTCAGCCATCATTCGGCTCACCTCACAAATTTGAGTTCCAAATGAAAGCTCAGTCTCCAGGAAAGTCACCTGGAGCACCATCTGGTGAAGAGGAATCCGAAGAGGAAGACACTGATAATGTTGATGTTGGAGATTTTAAGGTAAGTTTTTCACTTTCTGTAAATGACCATACACACATTTGAAGTTGTTATATTTTAATTTATTTTTTGTTCTGTGTAATTTTGTGTATTCTTCCCTATTTTTTCAATGTTTTTAATTTTGATTTTAACTTTTATATATGCAACAGCCTGTAATACCACTTCCTGACAAAGTCCCTGTGTTGACTGGGGAGGAAGATGAGAATGTTCTATACTGTCATCGAGCAAAGTTATTTAGATTTGTAAATGGTGAATGGAAAGAGCGTGGGTTAGGTGACATCAAAGTTTTATGTCACAATGTTACTAACAAACCAAGGTAAAACAACTAATTTTCTTCAGAAGGAGCATTGCGCTTTTCTGATATTTAACACATAGCTATTTTAATTATAGGTTGTTGATGCGGCGTGAACAAATTTTTAAAATATGCCTGAATCACTACATACTCCCGGATCTCGATATGAAAGAGAAAGATGAAAAAACCTGGATTTGGTTTGCCAACGACTTCAGTGATGGTCAGCTAGCTGAGGAGAGGTTTGCATGTCGATTTAAAACATCCGAAATAGCAGCAGATTTCAAATCAGCTGTGGATCAAGCAAAGGTAATTTTCATATGTTTGTTGTAAGATGCTCAGAGGTGGACCATTCCTGGTCAGGAGAGGCCAGTGTCCTTCCTCGCCTTAGTTGCATTGGACAAAGATATAGTTGAGGTCAACATGCATCACTCATGAGTAGTTTTGACACAATGTTTTCTTAACCTTGTGTGCAATCATTGGTGTTCTGTTCACAGGCTTTGGTTGTCCTTCCATCAGCTACGAAGGAAGATGCTTCATCCAATTCAACTGTTACTAATGGTACCTATATTTTAACCAAGAACTGTTTACCACTAATTTTGAACTTGCCCCTTTTGGGGCACAATTTCTTTCTTGCCAATGATACCTTCTCTGATGAAAAATATTACTCCCCTACAAGTAAAATTTCCTCTTGCTGGAGAGAGAACAGTTCCAAGTGTTCAATTAGTGATATGTTCATTGCTCAAAATAACATTAACATATCAACAGCTCACTCCCATGAAACAACACTATTTATTCTCTATCCATTTTGTAATTGCATAGCATTACATTGCTTATGTATTGAATTAAACAAATCTCTCTTAATATCTCATGCTGCTCGCTGCATGTTTCGCCCTTTTAATTTTTGGTCTTTAATGTCAAATTTCCGAGCAAACATTTTAAATTTTGGGCCAAGGTCCCAGCAAAATATTCTTTGCTGGCTATGTTTGTCTCACTCAAGCAAGCTATTCCTCACTAACACCTGACCAGCTGTTATTGAATAATCTCCACACATGCCGAGCCCTATTGAAATTAACTTTATTTGATCTAGTATCGTGGTAGCTTTTTTTATTTGTTACAATCTTTAGAAACATGGAATTAAAATAATAATAATTTTATTTTTTTGTACCGTTTATTTACTATTTTTTCTTGTTGGCATTTTGTCAAGCGGTGTTGATATTAATACAAAAGTGGCACTATTATAAATAATTTTTATAAAATTCATTCTTGGGCCGAAACAGTTTAAGAGAACATAACTCCTGGAACCACATTGAAATGCACATTTGGTATTGATTCCTCTCTCACACAAATTGAATTTTTTCAGGTTCCTCAAATAAGGAAATTACACCATCAATGAAAAACTTCTCCTTTAAACTTCCAAGTTCTGATAAGCCTGGTAAGCCATTAAGACCTATATTTTAACAATTACTTAAATACTTTAATATTTTATTTATCCTGCATGTATTCAATTTTTAGTTGTCGTACGGTCTCTTTTTGGATCAAATGACACATCATCCCACTATTCAGGTAAGATCACTTTTAAATGTTCTTGTAAACTATTCTTTCCTCAAACGTTATGGTAAAATTCTCCCCTCATTGGAAACAAGATAGTTCCCTGTATACAGTTAAATTGCTCTATTTGGTTATTTATGGCTGACAGGGTTGTCACAAATTATTCCCTGGCTTTTCCCTGATTTTTCCCTAAAACTGCAGATGAACTGTTACTACCCCCTGTCTCTGTGATTCCCTGATATCTCCCTGACTTGTGGTAATCCAGTTTTAACTGAAACTAAAAGACATCTTCAGTCAGGAAGTTAATTGATTTTATGAATTACATTGCTCCTGTTTTTGGCCTTATTTTAACTGTTACTTCTCAGTGATTAATTAACATTTTTTAACTTACAGATGAAGTTGAAGTTGTTTATGAGGCCAAAGTCACTCCTGAGGAAAAGTCAGCTGCTTTAAGACTCCAGCTACCTGAAAATTTCTATCTTTATAAACAGGCTCCACCATGCTCAGGTTGTCCAGGGTGTGAAAAGGATTCCGATTCAGACCAGGTTTATCTTTTTTTTCTTTTTAAATATCTCAGTTCACTTATAGTTTGAAGGTATCTTACCCTAATATTTTACTTTTTTTTTTTAAATTAGGGGGACAGTCAGTCTTTAGCTAGCTTAACGCCAGCAAGTTCTGTTATCTCATCTTCAACTACAACATTCAATGCATCAGCAGCAGTTGGTGGAAGTGGAACATCATTGTTTACTTCAGCTTCATTTACCCAACCTTCTTTCACTGGTATATTTGGTGGAACTGCCCAGAATACACCTGGATTTGGAATATTTGGTGGTAGTTCTCTAAACTCAAATCCGGGAAGCACAGCAGTCAATTCTCCCAGCACTGCTTTTCCTTTGTTTGGAGCCAAGTTGTCTACTCCTTCATTAAAAGAAGAAGTCCCTTTCCTTCCAGTGAGTAACAGTCCATCCTTTGCTAGTTTAGCTGCTACCAACAACAGCCCAGCTGTCTTTCAACCAAAAAAGCCAATTGAAGCTTTCTCCTTTGCGGGAGCTGGGTCAAAAGTATTTGGCACATCTAGTTCTGGCACACCACCAAGAAAGAGCACTAATGATGAAGAAGGTGACTCAGGTGGTGAACATGATACAAGTGAGACTACTGAAGTTGAAACTCACGATCCTCACTTTGAGCCAATCATAGCCTTGCCAGATATGGTTGAAGTAAGGACTGGAGAAGAAGATGAGGAAAAACTTTTCTGTCAAAGAGCAAAATTATTCAGATATGATTCTAATACTAAGGAATGGAAAGAACGAGGTGTTGGTGAAATGAAAATTTTGAAACATCCTATAAATGGAACTTTTAGACTATTGTTACGGAGAGAACAAGTTCACAAGGTGGTACTCAATCAACGTCTTGATGAAAACATTGAGTTGAAGCCTTTGAAGACATCTGATAAAGCATGGTGTTGGGGTGGTTTAAATCATGCAGAAGACTCATCAGGTGCCTTGGAAGAATTGGCAATTAGATTCAAAAACTCAGAATTGGCAGAAGAGTTCCGCTCTAAAGTGGAGGAATGCCAGAAGTTACTTGTTTCAAGTATGTATAATTTTCTTTTAAGTTTTATACTTATATGACTTGTTCTAGATCTGTCTCATTTAGGGATTCTTCTTCCAGATAGCGTACATAAAGATGTAACTGTGCCAGATGATGTGAATGCTGAAGAGGGGGAAGATGATGATGATTATGAAGACGAAGATGAGAGTGAAATCCTGTTTGAACAAACTGTTACTCTAAAAGCTGAAGATTGCAATACCCAGTCAACTGTTGAAGGAACAGGTAGCATCAGAGTTATTTTATCTAACAACCTTTACTATGTAGAGATGATGGATGATTCAGGAATGGTTCTTTGCAAAGCTCCGATTCAAGGGGACTCGGAGGTTCAGGTCAGTTTGTTTTAAATACCATATTTAGTGCCTTAACTTTGTCAACTTACACTGTATTTTGTATCAATTCTGATTAACAGAGAGTAGAAAATGTTTGCACTTGGAGAAGTGCCGACCTTATAGACGATGAGCAGGGTATTGAAAAGAAATTTGTATCAACTTTTGAATCTGAGCAAGAGGCTGATGCTTTCCAGGATCTGTACTCCAGAATTACTCTAGAGGTTTGTCATTGTTAAATTAGTAGCTCTTTATATATTATATCAATCATTATTCATTAATATAATATATTTTTAACATTTCAGATTGTTGAGAGCACCTATGATTATGTGGATGAACAGAAAGATTGAAGAATCCAGACTAAGGGTGCAAAGACAAAAACATTTGTGTCTGTGATTGTGTCTATTGGTTTCTCAAGAAAGGCACAAAGTATGATTTTAATGAGTTTAGATTCTTAAGTTTCAATAAATTTAGCCAATTTAATTCTATTGCCTGTACTATAGTATGTACTTTTATTATTTTTATTCCCTTCAGTACTCTACATGGCAGGTTGTAGTAAAGCTGTCTCAATTTCAATTGCCCTGTAATGTAGTATATAGTATTTTGCAATTCACTCTATTCTCCATTGTGTTTTGGGAATGAAATTTTGAACATGAATTGTTTCAGCAGAATGTTAATAAAATACTGGTAACTTTTCATCTTGAGTTTGCACCATATTGAATCTATAATCTGGTCATCTGGTAAAGCAGTGTAGCACGTTAAACATCAAAACACAACATTTATGACAAAAGTTTATTTACATTACTACTTTTCGTTTTCTAAATTAACATTTTTATTCTCACATTCTGAGTTAGCCACTATTCTTTCCTTTCTAAGCTGAGTAGAATGAGAAGTCAAACTTTCTAAATCATGCACCCGTCCTGTTGACTCTTGTAATGCTCTTCTAGACAAACGAATTTGTCCACTGACAGGATCACGGCCAAAATATTTGACAGATATTTTCTGACCAACAGTCAGCCCTACTGCACTAGGATGAGCAATCTATAAGAAATTAGAAATCAGATATCAGAATGCACTTAGGATAGCTTTAAATTCATAGAATGAAGATCACATACCTTGCGAACATCTAAGTGAGAGTTGTTAATAAAAACTGGCATAAGTTGTGGATGTAGAGAAACCATAGCACCAGATTCTTTCAATTCCATAATTTTAACACTGTAAATCGCTCCAAATTCGAATTGAGGTTCAGGATTACTATCCAATATCTTTTGCACAACTTCATAAGCCTCCTGCATTGCAGCATCATTTGGTGCAAACGCAGAAAACGTTGTATCTTCTACATGTGTAATCTAAAAGTCATTCCACTGCATTGAGACTACAAAAATTGTAAAAATATAACTGAAATCTAGCAACTGTTGTTAATTATACCTGAACCCCAGTCTGGAGAAATAGCTTTTTAATATTGATCCATGCTGGTCCAAGTAACAAATTCCGCTTTTGCACAGGTACTTCAAACGTCTCTAGGATAGGCATGTTTTCTTCTTTGACACTAAAAAATTAGCAGTTACACCCTTTCTATCAATATCCAAGTAGGGGCAAAGTATAGAGGACCACATTTAAAAAATTAATTTTTTACTTAAGTTCTCGTACCTGGGAGAAGAAATGGTTTCACTCATTATGTTGATTATTTTTCGCTTTGCTGTATGACCCTCAGATAAAACCTTGTGTAAGATATCCAATGAAATTCCAGGTATCTTGAAATCTGCTTGCAATGCAGTTATTCCAGTTTTCGTTCCAGCAATTTTGAAGTCCATGTCCCCTATGTAATCTTCTATTCCCTAAAATATAAAACTTTTATTACATCATATATTTTTAAAAATCTATGGAAACAAACGTTAAAGTATGTGAGCACAAAATAACTCAAATAAATATGGTTTGAACAACATAAATTAACACACCAGTATATCTGTAAGAATTCTATAATCTTCAATTTCGCCGTCTGGTTGGCAACGAGTAACAAGGCCCATTGCGACCCCACTTGCCATTGCTGAGATGGGTACACCAGCATCCAATAATGCCATTGATCCTCCACATACGGTTGCCATGGACGAGGAACCTAAGGAATTATGCATTTATATCACTACTGATCTAGGTCTTAAGACCAAGTGCTCTGAATTTGGAATATCTAACCGTTTGACTCCAACACTTCAGATGTAAGTCTGATGCAAAATGGATAATCAGCAGGTACAACTGGACGCAATCCTTTTTCAGCAAGAGCTCCATGTCCAATTTCTCGTCTACTAACTCCACGTCCTTGTTTAACTTCATTTGTGGCGTACCCAGGAAATTCATAGTTGAGGAAAAAACTCTTTTCCTTAAGACCACTGAAATAGAATTACATTAATGAAATAAATAACCCACTGAAAAGATGCTACCAGAAGTTGAACATTGATCATCCCACCTAGTAAGGATTGTGTAGGAGTCAGTCTTCACCGCTGACTGAGGAGAGTCTAATGCAACTGTACATAAGACCTGAGTTTGTCCTCTTTGAAATAATGAAGAACCATGTAGTGGTTTATACAAGTTAACTTCGCAGGATATATCTCGAACATCATTTAAACCTCTTCCATCACACCTTAATCAAAACAAATAAAATTTTACTTTAAAAACGGAATAAAAGATGAAGAGATGAAAAGTAATGCGCAGTTAATTTAATTGTTCTTACCTCACATTAGATTCAAATATTAGGTCACGAAAGACATTCCTAACAAAGGCACTAAATGCATGATTGATGTTGTTCTCAACGGTTTCAATACTCTGTGATTTTATGTTCTTTACTATAGAATCTCTTAGAGATGAAACAGCTTTGTCTCGTTGCTGTTTATTTAGAGTGAAATCAGAAAATATGTTTTTGAGGTCAGTTAAATAATGTAATTGCAAATATTCAAGCAACTCTTGTCTAAATATTTTTTCCTTAACTTCTTGCTTTGTTTTACCACATTTTATAGTTAATTGTTCAATAGAAGCTACAATTTTTTTCACTTCTTTCATACCAGCCTTAATACTATGTAAGACTGTGTTCAAATTGAGATCATTAAAACTCCCTTCGACCATAACAACTTTTGAGGATTTAATTCCCGCCACAACCAAGTTCATGGCACTTTTTTGGAGCTCGTGTCTAGTTGGATTAATGATAATGTCATCACCTATTAATCCGACACGCACGGCACCAACTGGTCCATCCCATGGTATATCAGACAATGACAGAGCTGTTGAGGCTGCATTAATACATAAAACCTCTGGATCATTGATGCCATCAGCAGACAACAAATTAGACATAATTTGAACCTCAGAGAGATAGTTTTTAGGGAACAGTGGGCGTATTGAGCGGTCAGTCAATCTTGCAGTTAAAATTTCTCGCTCAGACTGTCCAAGTTCTCTACGAAGGTAATTTGTAGGTATACGACCAGCTGCTGCTGATTTCATTCTAAACTCCACAGTCAGGGGAAGAAAAGAATCTTGCAAATCATGTGAATCTTTGCAGACAGCAGTGACCATAACAGCAGTGTCTTCAGATTGAACAACGGCTGATCCATTGGCCATTTTTGCATATTTTCCTGTGGAGAATGTTAACGTTTTCCTGTAGATAGAATGGAAAAAATTGAAAAATATGGGAAATGACATGCCTTAAACAGCATGACCCATAAATTAATATTGTATCATAGACTCACCCGTTCAGTAACGACACTGTTTCTTTAATTTCATGAGGCTTGTTATTGCACATAAAGGAACTAATGGTAATAGCCCGGCACGATAGGTTATGGAATGACTTTAGTTTCACACTTTTCAGCCTATTTCTTAAAAGACTTGCCATATTTGCAATAGAGTTCGATAAATGAATTAATACTGTAGCAACCTCTAATGCTGAACGGTATACTTCTGAAGGTACTCTATGTGCTTGTTGTGATTATTTCGTATTCTGCTTCTGCTTGCGAACATGCTGCCGTTCTACACCAACAATTTCTCATATGTATGACAACATTTATGAACTATTTTAATTTTAGTTCTTATTATTAAATCCACATTCCACTAATACTTCGAGTTAGTTTGGCTGTGAAAATGTGCCAGAGGTGGGCATCATTGTCATGTGTAAAGCAGTCATCATCATTGAGAATCACAGCACAGTCACAACAAACGTCACACTTCCTTCACGCTCCCTTCTCTTTCACTTTCTCTTCCTCTCTCACGCCAGTCTCTATCGCACACACACATCCACATCACATCATACGTCTGTGTCCGTGTCCGTCTGTCCCCCCCGTCCCCGTCCGACGGCGTCGACGATGGTAACGATTGATGACGGAATTTTAGGGGCACGGATTTATCTTGGACGGGCGAAGGGAAGGGTTGAAAATCGCCCCACAGCGTGCCCTCGCTTTAGTACTACTACTGCGCTTCATTAGGACGGACCTGAACACGAATCGCACGAATTCAGAAGCATAGTAAAGGTATCAACTTGTGAGTGATAACTTTCTTCAAGCATTGAGAGGTTATATCAAGATTGTTGTAGGCTCGTTATTTTACCGTGGCGCTCTTCTGGACAATTTCTCTGCCCGAGAATGAGTCTTTTCCTATATTGAGCATTGGAGCATGAACACGGCCGATTCATCTTCTGATAAATTATTGGCACCTTATGTTCAACCAAGTATCAAGAACCCAACAGTTGTTGCATCTGTGTAATCTTCTATTCCCTAAAATATAAAACTTTTATTACATCATATATTTTTAAAAATCTATGGAAACAAACGTTAAAGTATGTGAGCACAAAATAACTCAAATAAATATGGTTTGAACAACATAAATTAACACACCAGTATATCTGTAAGAATTCTATAATCTTCAATTTCGCCGTCTGGTTGGCAACGAGTAACAAGGCCCATTGCGACCCCACTTGCCATTGCTGAGATGGGTACACCAGCATCCAATAATGCCATTGATCCTCCACATACGGTTGCCATGGACGAGGAACCTAAGGAATTATGCATTTATATCACTACTGATCTAGGTCTTAAGACCAAGTGCTCTGAATTTGGAATATCTAACCGTTTGACTCCAACACTTCAGATGTAAGTCTGATGCAAAATGGATAATCAGCAGGTACAACTGGACGCAATCCTTTTTCAGCAAGAGCTCCATGTCCAATTTCTCGTCTACTAACTCCACGTCCTTGTTTAACTTCATTTGTGGCGTACCCAGGAAATTCATAGTTGAGGAAAAAACTCTTTTCCTTAAGACCACTGAAATAGAATTACATTAATGAAATAAATAACCCACTGAAAAGATGCTACCAGAAGTTGAACATTGATCATCCCACCTAGTAAGGATTGTGTAGGAGTCAGTCTTCACCGCTGACTGAGGAGAGTCTAATGCAACTGTACATAAGACCTGAGTTTGTCCTCTTTGAAATAATGAAGAACCATGTAGTGGTTTATACAAGTTAACTTCGCAGGATATATCTCGAACATCATTTAAACCTCTTCCATCACACCTTAATCAAAACAAATAAAATTTTACTTTAAAAACGGAATAAAAGATGAAGAGATGAAAAGTAATGCGCAGTTAATTTAATTGTTCTTACCTCACATTAGATTCAAATATTAGGTCACGAAAGACATTCCTAACAAAGGCACTAAATGCATGATTGATGTTGTTCTCAACAGTTTCAATACCCTGTGATTTTATGTTCTTAACTATAGAATCTCTTAGAGATGAAACAGCTTTGTCTCGTTGCTGTTTATTTAGAGTGAAATCAGAAAATATGTTTTTGAGGTCAGTTAAATAATGTAATTGCAAATATTCAAGCAACTCTTGTCTAAATATTTTTTCCTTAACTTCTTGCTTTGTTTTACCACATTTTATAGTTAATTGTTCAATAGAAGCTACAATTTTTTTCACTTCTTTCATACCAGCCTTAATACTATGTAAGACTGTGTTCAAATTGAGATCATTAAAACTCCCTTCGACCATAACAACTTTTGAGGATTTAATTCCCGCCACAACCAAGTTCATGGCACTTTTTTGGAGCTCGTGTCTAGTTGGATTAATGATAATGTCATCACCTATTAATCCGACACGCACGGCACCAACTGGTCCATCCCATGGTATATCAGACAATGACAGAGCTGTTGAGGCTGCATTAATACATAAAACCTCTGGATCATTGATGCCATCAGCAGACAACAAATTAGACATAATTTGAACCTCAGAGAGATAGTTTTTAGGGAACAGTGGGCGTATTGAGCGGTCAGTCAATCTTGCAGTTAAAATTTCTCGCTCAGACTGTCCAAGTTCTCTACGAAGGTAATTTGTAGGTATACGACCAGCTGCTGCTGATTTCATTCTAAACTCCACAGTCAGGGGAAGAAAAGAATCTTGCAAATCATGTGAATCTTTGCAGACAGCAGTGACCATAACAGCAGTGTCTTCAGATTGAACAACGGCTGATCCATTGGCCATTTTTGCATATTTTCCTGTGGAGAATGTTAACGTTTTCCTGTAGATAGAATGGAAAAAATTGAAAAATATGGGAAATGACATGCCTTAAACAGCATGACCCATAAATTAATATTGTATCATAGACTCACCCGTTCAGTAACGACACTGTTTCTTTAATTTCATGAGGCTTGTTATTGCACATAAAGGAACTAATGGTAATAGCCCGGCACGATAGGTTATGGAATGACTTTAGTTTCACACTTTTCAGCCTATTTCTTAAAAGACTTGCCATATTTGCAATAGAGTTCGATAAATGAATTAATACTGTAGCAACCTCTAATGCTGAACGGTATACTTCTGAAGGTACTCTATGTGCTTGTTGTGATTATTTCGTATTCTGCTTCTGCTTGCGAACATGCTGCCGTTCTACACCAACAATTTCTCATATGTATGACAACATTTATGAACTATTTTAATTTTAGTTCTTATTATTAAATCCACATTCCACTAATACTTCGAGTTAGTTTGGCTGTGAAAATGTGCCAGAGGTGGGCATCATTGTCATGTGTAAAGCAGTCATCATCATTGAGAATCACAGCACAGTCACAACAAACGTCACACTTCCTTCACGCTCCCTTCTCTTTCACTTTCTCTTCCTCTCTCACGCCAGTCTCTATCGCACACACACATCCACATCACATCATACGTCTGTGTCCGTGTCCGTCTGTCCCCCCCGTCCCCGTCCGACGGCGTCGACGATGGTAACGATTGATGACGGAATTTTAGGGGCACGGATTTATCTTGGACGGGCGAAGGGAAGGGTTGAAAATCGCCCCACAGCGTGCCCTCGCTTTAGTACTACTACTGCGCTTCATTAGGACGGACCTGAACACGAATCGCACGAATTCAGAAGCATAGTAAAGGTATCAACTTGTGAGTGATAACTTTCTTCAAGCATTGAGAGGTTATATCAAGATTGTTGTAGGCTCGTTATTTTACCGTGGCGCTCTTCTGGACAATTTCTCTGCCCAAGAATGAATCTTTTCCTATATTGAGCATTGGAGCATGAACACGGCCGATTCATCTTCTGATAAATTATTGGCACCTTATGTTCAACCAAGTATCAAGAACCCAACAGTTGTTGCATGCGTGAAATCGTGACCCCTTCCTTTTCTCTCTTTTTATCTTGTTCTGCCGGATTTGTAAAATGGCGAGTGGATCGAACAATTTCATGAGAAATAATGAAGGAGCGTCCAGCTTTTCTGATTTGGCTGCTAACTCCTCTTTGACAGCTACTGCTACAGAATTTGTACCAAATTCAGCTAATAAGAGCAAGTTCTTCAAGAAATCCAAGAATCCTAGAAGTTTTGCCCAGGGTTACAGGAGTCATCCCAGAGAAAATGTAGGAGAGCAATCTTACAGTTCCTCAGGATTTTCTGAACAGACTCTAGACAGACATTCTACTAGTGGAAAGTATCAAAACCGCTATGGTAATGTTTCCGGTTCCGAAGGGAATGACTTTCCTGCAGGTAATATTCCGGTTAGATCAAATGATGTTTCCAACGGTGGATCCTCTTCTAAGACATCGTCAAAATCATCCAGTGCAACAAAATATTTCAATGGCTATAGAGGGTACAACAAAAGCCGAAAAGATAGTCCTGGTCAAGCTTCTGCAAACAATTTTTCTGAAGGTGGTGAATTTGAAGAAGCTGTTGGAGGCAAAAGTTTGAAACCCTATTATAATAAAGATAATGGTCCTGGTTATGTCAAACCAAGAGACCGTAATGGGAATAGGGACCAAGTTGCTGACCAACATTCAGATCAACCACCTTATGGTGATCGATCTAAATTCAGAGAAAGCAGAGATCAGGTACCTATGCGGTCTCAGAAAAGAGATGAGCCTAATAGAGGTAAAGATCGTTCTAGATTTTGGGAACGTAACAATCATGCGGACAGAGAAACAGGCGATGATTCAAGGTCTTTTGATAGATACTCTAGTCATCATTCTGAGAGAGGTCAAGACCATTACCAGGATCGATATTATTCAAACCGGCCCAACAGGCGATACTCTGATCGCAATCAAGAGCGACAGTCAGATGACCGTAACAGAAATCATAGCTATGAGCAAGACTTAAGGTCTCAGGGTTATAGCTCAAGAGGCAGATTCCAATATGATTTTATGAAGGAAGATCAAAATCGACAGCGAAATAATGTTCACTCCAAAGGAAGAAACTTAACACACAATTTCAATACTCAAGAAACTTTTAATTATGATAACTCCAAGCAATTCTCAAATGAGAGTAGCTATATGGAGAGAGAGGTATCCAGTTCAAGTCGGAGAGAGAATGACTTCAGCTCCTATTCTCGGCAGAATACTCAGAGGAAGTTTAGCTATCGAGGTAAGAATTCACATCATACCACTTCCATTTTTTGTTCTGCATCCATATTTTATACACACATTTGGTTTATTTTCAGATGGAGACGATGTTTCGCAAAGAGAACGTTTAACAGAACAGCTGACTCGTGGTGTTTTGGAATGTCTTGTCTGTTGTGATAGAGTGAGACAACATGATGCTGTGTGGAGTTGCTCCAATTGTTTCCATGTTTTGCATTTGAGATGTGTCACAAAATGGGCTAAGTCATCCAAGGCTGGTAAGGTTTTCTTTAGTAGTTGCTGTGTTTATGGTTTATTCACTTCATTATCTAACTTATTAAAGTTCTTAAATTCACATTTTAACTCAAAACTTGAAATTTATTATCATTATTTATAGAGACAGGTTGGCGCTGCCCAGCTTGTCAAAATGTGACGGAAACTCTCCCATCTCAGTATAGGTGCTTTTGCAACAAAGTTGTGGATCCTTCATGGAATCGGCATGACACCCCACACACTTGTGGGGAGGTGTGTGGAAAATCGCGGGAGGGCCAACGGCCACAATGTGTCCACAAGTGTACTTTGTTGTGCCATCCAGGTCCTTGTCCACCCTGTGTTGCTCAAGTTACAAGGTGTGTCTTTGGTCTTACAATTAAGGTTTCATTGGTACAGTGAGTTTTGTTTACATACAATTCTTTTTCAGGAATTGTGGTTGTGGCAAAACATCTCAAACAGTTAAGTGTGCTTTAGAAAAGCCCTTACTTTGTGAAGCAATTTGTAATAAGATTCTGAACTGTGGTGTCCATTATTGTGAGAAAAGTTGCCATGCTGGAGCATGTGAGCCATGTGAACTCAAAATTGAACAAGGTACAGTATGAAATTTCCATTTACTCTTGCTTCAAATTGTAATTTCCTTTTCCTTGTTTGTTTCTTACATAACTCGCTTTCTGTTTTCAGTGTGTTTCTGTAAGAAACAAAGGAGAGAAGTTGATTGTATACCTGAAAACCAAGGTGTTCTGGAGTTCAGTTGTAATGGAATCTGTGAACAGTTTTTGGCCTGTGGAAATCACAAATGTGATGATGTGTGCCATGAAGGTGAATGCAAACCATGCCAGTTCACTCCTGACCTTATCACTCATTGCCCTTGTGGAAAAACTGAATTAAGTTCAAAACCTGATGATTTGAGAAGAAATTGTCTGGATCCTATTCCAACCTGTGGGAAAATTTGTAGTAGGAGACTTTCTTGTGGTCAACCGAGCAACCCTCATACTTGTAAATCTAGTTGCCATTCTGACGGGTGTCCTCCATGTTTGCTTACGACTATGGTTCGGTGTCGATGTGGACACATGGACAGAGAATTGCCTTGTGATCAACTTACCTCAAAAGCTGATGATGCCAGATGTGAGAAGAAATGTACGAAGAAGCGCAGCTGTGCTAAACACAAATGTAACCAGCAGTGTTGCATTGAAATAGATCACCCTTGTCCGCTTCCCTGTAATCACACTCTGAGCTGTGGACTTCATCGTTGTGAACAGCTTTGCCATCGAGGGCATTGTCAACCATGCTGGAGAACCAGCTTTGAAGAATTGTTTTGTGAATGCGGTGTTGAAGTTTTGTACCCACCTGTGCCTTGTGGCACAAAGCCCCCACCATGCTCTCGTCCCTGCTCTCGTCAGCATGACTGTGAGCATCCAGCCCTTCATCCGTGTCACAGTGACACCCACTGCCCTCCCTGTACAGTTCTTACCCAGAAATATTGTTATGGAAATCATGAGGTATGGACTTACTGTGTATAACTATATAAGTTTGCTCTATTGTTTTCTTAACATTTTTTCTCAAACGTGTTTGGTTTCATTCAGTTAAGGAAAAGTATTCCTTGCCATCAGAAAGAATTTTCTTGTGGTCTACCATGTAACAAAGAGTTGCCCTGTGGGCGCCATAAGTGCATTCAATTGTGTCACAAGGAAGAATGTTTGCGTCTTGGAGCAGTGTGCACTCAACCGTGTATTTCACCACGACCCACTTGCCAACATCCTTGCTCTGCACCCTGTCATGAAGGCAGTTGTCCAGATGTGCCATGCAAAGAAACGGTGTGATATCTTTCTGGTTTTAGCTCCTTTTAAGGTATCTTAAATGCAATTGTGTCATGTTATAATTGAAATATCTGTGTAAATTACAGGTTAGAGTAACTTGTGAATGTGGGCATCGCTCAGCCATGAGGCCGTGTTCTGAAAACACAAAAGAATATCAACGCATTGCTACTTCACTGCTAGCCTCTAAAATGGCAGATGTTCAGCTAGGCCATAGTATAGATATCGGAGACATTATGGGTAATGCCAGTACCAAAAAATTATACTTAAAATCGTAAGTAGTTTTCCATTTCCTTTCTGATCTTAGCAGCTAGTTTTGTTGTGACCCATATCCAGCCATATCAGAGGTCTTAATCTTGGGCCAAACAATATCTGATAGTCAACATGCTTATTTTTTGAGGTACATATAAATTTCTGCCTTTCTCTTCTCAGGCTTGAGTGCAATGATGAATGCAAGGCCATTGAAAGGAATCGCAGAATGGCCATAGGTCTTCAAATTCGAAATCCTGATATAAGTCAGAAACTAACTCCTCGTTACTCAGACTTCATGCGAGGCATGGCCAAAAAAGATCCCTTATTTTGTCAAAATGCTCATGAGAAGCTGACTGAACTAGTAAAATTAGCCAAGGAGGTAAAAAATAAACGTTGTTGCTGACTCATACTTTGAGTTGCATATATTTTACTTATCTACCTACCCTATACAATGTGTATAATACTTCAAATATTTCTTACTTGCTTACAGTCCAAGCAGAAAAGTCGAAGCTATTCATTTGAAGTTATGAATAGAGAGAAGCGCCAGTTTCTTCATGAGTACTGTGAGCATTTTGGATGTGAATCAGTTGCTTATGATCAAGAGCCTAAACGTAATGTAGTTGCAACTGCACAAAAAGCCAAGGTAAGGAAATGGATTTACCTTACCATAATTTCACTGTTGAAGATTATTTAGTTCTCACTGTTGTTTTCTATTTATCTCTATCAGGCATGGCTCCCAAGCGTAGGGTTGTTGGAACTTGTGCAAAGAGAAGCAGGTCAGCGTAAAGTACCTGGACCGATGCTGAACTCTGTTAAGAAACCTATCAATAGGTATGTATTCGTTATTTGCAGAACTAAACATACCATACAGGGTGGTCCATAGACCCCTTCCTTTAATATGCTTATACTTTACCGCATGCAAGCGTGCGGGCGCGTTGCATACTCACACGGGGCCATAAGGCGCCTTGGTGAGCGACGGAAGGCCAGCCCGCTGGCACGCCTTCATGCGGTACAGTATAAGAATAAGCAACAGAAAGGAAGGGGTCTATGGACCAAACTGTATGTCTGAAAGAGTACATTGTCTGAAATGTACTGTCAAACAAATCAGTAGCTGTCTCTTACTTCGTCAAACAGACTCTAGTAGCTGGAGCTATTACATTTAAAGACAATATACTTTAAGCAAAAAGCTACCTTGTGTGGACATGTTTTATTCACGTTCCTGAATTATAGAATACAGTAACAATATTAAACATATTTTTGCAGAAATATGGACACGTTGTCTAGCAAGTGGGCAACCAAACCGACTACTGATGGATCCTCTAGCTCCAATGTACCACAAACTCTAGTTTCAACTGGCGCTGCTTACAAAACTGCCACCTATCCAAGTTCACATGGTGATGAGTCTGCCTCTGGAAGTAGTAGTGGTGTTTCTTTTATTGATCACTTCAATTCATAAAGCCTCATACAGATGTAAAACAGTGATATGATTTATGATTTACTATTCAATTTGAAGTTGTGGATATTAAAAGACATTTTCTTCTTTATTTTTGTTTTGTCTGGGTGGGTTCTGTTCCATTGAAAGTTGATTGAAAGTTGTTTATATTGGGTAATGGGTAATAATTCTATCAAAGACTGATTGGATGAGGAGTACTTTTCCAATAGTATAGTTAGAGTAAAGGAAATTGTATGTGTTGTGCCCAAAAATATCATATTCTTTTTTGTCTCCGAGGCCTACAATCTCCCTTTAAACTGACTTACCAGACCTATGTTATAAGTCATTCATTCATTATTTTTGTATGGATCTGTTTGTACTTATGCATTGTATCATCTCCCTATTTTCCTAAGAGTTCAATTTTTGAATTTGTGAACCATTTGGTTTAATGATAGTTTATTATTATTGTATATATATATAGGGGGTTTGGGATTAAAGCACCAGGTCATTTGGAAAACTGTTGGTAAACATCTAACTTTTTGTGTTTGATTAACATTACACAAAAATATGTTAGATCTTGTATGAATAAATTCTAGCCGCCCATGAATTTATTCCTTTAAGTTTTGTTGTTGTACTGAGGTACAGCACATATATTTTTTGATGACTAGCCATGTTCATGTTCATAAGGCTAGTGAGGTATATTTTACTTTATCATTTTACTCCAGTGCCAATATGTTTCTTATTGTCATAATAAACAATAATATTGTAATTAAATTAAATCAGTGCTTCTGACAATCTGACTAATGTGGGGGTAACTTTGATAAATTTTAAAGATTTTTTTTTTGTGTCTATCCAATGATGAAATAATAACTAGTGTACCTTCAAGATACCCCTGGCCTTTTCTATCGCCTGTTGTAATGGCATGTACATTTCAAGTCTTTATTTTTGTCTTTTAAACATCTGTAAAATAAAATTTGCCCTTCTGTCAGTGTTTCTCCACAAAAACTCTACCAATTGTACTGTTCGAGAGAAATAAAAAATTCTTCAGAAACGTTTTCCTTCTCTCAATAACATTCGTCTAACTAATCTCACTATTTCACAAGCAATCATGTCATGCTGTGCATTCCATATCTACAAAATACACCCACATGAGAACACTCCATGTGGGGGGAGAGCAGGGGAGAAGGGAAGTACGATGACGATGATACAACTCATTTCATCATGGTCCAGTCAAGCTTCGACCACCAATCCGCGACCGTTCTAAAATTACTATACACACTTGTCATCAGTGAAAGTATCTTCTTTGAACTAGGGACAAATTTTAAGCCGTCCACCCAAACAGGAGGCAGGAGATCTCTGAGATCTCCTGAGATGATTGCAATCTGTGTCGGCTGCTGACTGAAGACTGAAGGAGGAGCTCCTTTAAATTTGCCATACCCAGGGAAATCGGTCCCATGACAGACGTGTTCGTGTTGTGTTGTGTTGTGTTATTGTTCGCTTTTGTCTCAAAATACACTGTAACGGAACTAACTTAGGTCATTACGAAAAATTCACTGCTTCACAATGGTCTTTCCCTTAATAAGTTTCTTCATATAGTTTTGGTTAATTCTGATTTTGTTGAGGAGAAAGGATAAGGCGGCCAATCATGACTCATAACCTGAAAATCTGACAGCAACACCCTCTTTCTCTTTCAATATATAAAAAAGCAGCAACATAGAGGCATTCATCTCAAACTTCACATTTCGAACCTTCAGGTAAAAATGTTAATCTCATTTAGTCTTCCGGTAATTGATATGTATGTTTATAGCTCTGTTTTGTTCTGTCTTGGTCCGTATTGTTTTACTGTATGGCTGTCAACTTAGCACTTGTCAAAAAACTTTAATTTTAATTGCCCTTAAAAATTATTGTGAGGGTAATACAAGACTCTATCCTTATACATGGATGTTTTTTTCTTCTTTTCAATTCAGTGCTTGAGGTCACAATGCTGGCCCCTGATATTGGATCAACTAATGCTGATACTGAGTCATCGGCCGAATCCCCTAGGAATGTGAGATCGCGGGAAAAAGCACCTCTATTATCAAAAAACCGTTTTTTTAGTGGATTGCAGAACATACTTGGTATGTCAGGATCTTCATCCAGTGCTAATGTTGGTGGAGATGGCTATATTGAATTTGGAGTTATGAATCCAGATCCAAGCCGAACTTTAGGTACCTTTGCTGGTGTATTCAGCCCTGTTGCCCTGTCTATGTTCAGTGCTCTTCTCTTTCTGCGTGTTGGTAAGATTTTATATCTACATTGACTTCACTTAATGTTTCCTTACAATTTTAAAAGTTTCAATTTTAAAAACCTGAACAAAAAGTATTTGATTGTCTCCCTTTTGAATAGGTTTCATTGTCGGGAATGCTGGACTACTGATGACCCTTTTGCAATTTCTAATAGCATACAAAATTCTTGTCTTTACTGTTGCATCTATCTGTGCTATTTCAACAAATGGAGCCGTGGAGGGAGGAGGCGCATATTGTATCCTTTTCACAAAACTACTATTATATACACTGTTAACATTTAAAAAAAATAGAGTTGTATTTCATTGTTTTATCTGCAGAGCTCTGTAGAACTCATATTGTTATAATAAGGCCTACCTTTCTATGTAGTATCTTATCCTATTTCAAAATCAGTTATGATAAGTCGAACTCTTGGTCCTGAATTCGGAGGTGCTATTGGAACTCTGTTCTTCTTTGCTAATGTTGTGAGCAGTGCACTCTACATTACTGGTTGCACAGAAGGAATTATGCAAAATTTTGGTCCTTCAGGTACATGAATTCTGAAGAGTTTATTTCTTAATTAACTATGAAGTCCCATTTAGCCCTGTAATTGTATGCTCTTGTTTTCCAAAGGCTACATGGTTGGTGAAAATGGAGGCTTGCTGCCAGATGGGACATGGTGGAGGTTTTTATACTGCACTGTTTTAAATATTCTCAACCTCGGAGTCTGCTTAATTGGAGCTGGCATGTTTGCTAAAACAAGTGCAATCATATTAGCCACAGTGTGTGTTTGCATTCTATCCACTTTGGTCAGCTTTTTTGTTATGGACCCTATGGAGGTAAGTCTTTTCCTGCCTTATTGGTTTTTTATCTGTTTAGCCATTTAGCTGCTGTCGTATTGAAAAACCTTTCCTCTGGCAGGTTGCGCTTCCTGACTCCAATCATTTGGTTCAAAATGAAACTTTCCGTATCAATGGCACATTTACTGGTCTAAACTTTAATACCTTGAAAAGTAATACCTGGCCACATTTTGGTCGGGATTATACAACTCCAAGTGGTGATTGGACGCAGTTTGCTTCTGTCTTTGGAGTTCTATTCAGTGGTGTCACAGGAATAATGGCTGGAGCAAATATGTCTGGTACTGGTTAACATGTGGAGTACAAACTTTACTGTCATCTATTTTCTTTATAATCATGTTTTTGTGTCCATTTTGTGGTTCTTTGTTCCCAGGTGAACTGAAAGAACCCGCTAGAAGTATTCCTAGAGGAACCTTGTCTGCTGTAGCATTCACTTTTGTGGTATATCTTGCCCTTGCTGTCTTAACAGCTGCATCATGTAACAGTTTTCTGCTTCAGAACAATTACTTATTCATGATGCCAATTAATGTGTGGCCTCCATTTGTGGTTATTGGAATTTTAACAGCTACATTCTCTGCCAGCCTCAGTAATCTTATTGGATCCAGTCGTGTCCTTGAGGCCCTTGCCAAAGATAATGTGTTTGGTATGTATGTGATAAACTTAAATAACTTTATTATCAACCTTTAATTTTCCTGTCTTTATATGAGTTGTTGTAAATTTATCTGCATTCCAGGTGTATTGTTAAAATTTGTTTCCCGTGGTGTTTGGAGTGGTAATCCCATTATGGCTGTTTTTCTGTCTTGGGCCTTAGTAGAGGGTATATTATTGATTGGCAGCTTAAATTTAATTGCTCAGATAAACTCAGTTTTGTTTCTGTTGTCATACCTTGCAACTAATATGGCATGTTTGGGATTGGAACTTGCATCTGCACCAAATTTCAGGTAAAAGCAAAGTTATTTTTAAACAGTTGAATTTTGTCAGCTTTAATAGTGGAAGCAATTTTCCGACTAGAAACAAAAGGTTTATCTGCCTGTTAATGCATTGTGCGTGATATAATTTGGTTGCAGGCCATCATTCAAATGGTTTTCTTGGCACACTGCACTGATTGGCTTGTTGGGAACAATAGTGATGATGTTTGTCATCAATCCAATTTATGCATCGTCAAGTATTCTTCTTTGTCTTCTCCTTTTTCTGATGCTCCATTTCTTTTCTCCATCAAGAAATGTTGATTGGGGTTCAATTTCCCAAGCACTTATTTTTCATCAGGTAATTTTATTTTTCAATCTTATTTTTATTGTTGAGAGTTTAGGTTGTGTTTTATGCAGAACTCTCCAACAACCTTTAAACTCTCAGTTTCTAGAGCTTCAAAATATTTGTCTGTGTTGTTATTTGTTAGGTTCGCAAGTATTTGTTGATGTTGGATTCACGCAAAGATCATGTGAAGTTTTGGCGTCCTCAGATGTTGTTATTGGTGAACAACCCTCGTGCTGCGTGCCCATTGATTCATTTCATCAATGATTTAAAGAAGGGTGGACTTTATGTGCTTGGCCATGTTAAAGTTGGTGATTTCACAACATTAGATGCTGATCCAACCTTGGAGGAATACACACACTGGTTATCAATTGTTGACCACCTGAAGGTATGATGTACAAATTATGAATTTTGTAACCCTTTACCAAGCGAACTGCCTTCCAATGACAGTGTATTGGATTTGTCAGCTGCAGTGAGACTTTGGCCCATTTATTATTCTTACTAAAAATAAGAATGTTACAATCTACCAATTCTATCAATGTGTTAGGCATTCATATTTTAACTTACCTACCCCTATCTGCTTTTTTAAAAAAGGTAAAAGCTTTCATTGAGCTGACAGTTGCCCCATCTATCAGAGAGGGACTACAGCATCTGATACGTTTGTCTGGTATGGGTGCCATGAAACCAAATACCATAGTTTTAGGTTTCTATGATGAAGAAGAGCCTGTGGATTTCTTTGAGAGGTACCAAATCAGTTTTTATTAATGAAATCTTGTAATCAAATCTTGCATGCTAATTTTTTTACTTCTGTAGGACACAATCACGTTACAAAACTAGGGACTTTGATAATGTATCAGTCTCCAGCTCCACAAGTGGAAAATTATTTGAACTGAGAACGAGAGAACATCAACCAAGGTTCATTGATCAACAACAGTATGTAGGGATGATTAACGATGTCCTGAAGCTAAGGAAAAACCTATGTATTTGTAGGCACTTCCATAAACTCGACAAAATGGCAGTTACAAAGTAAGTTTTGTGATGACAAAATTCTAAAATTTGGATCTTTAAGTGACCAATCTACTAAATTATCCCTCAGGACTGGGCAGTTCAAGCATATTGATGTGTGGCCCATAAATCTTTTTACTCCTGATGATGATGACCCATTTGACACCAGCAGTCTATTCATGTTGCAGTTAGCTTGCATATTAAACATGGTTTGAATTTTTTATATGTCAATGTTTTAAAAGAAAATCATTTCAGATTAGTTTTGTTACTTGTGGGTTTTAACTTTAAAATGTTTATCAGGTTCCTGGATGGAAGCATTTAAATCTCAGGGTCTACCTTTTAGAATGTGGGAATCAACGTCGCAACAATGAACATCGTTTGCGGCAGCTTCTTCAACAGCTTCGCATCACTGCTAGTATTTACCAGGTAAATAGAAGTTCATTCATTAAACTTTTCTCTGAGTGACATGTTGTCTTAAAGGTACTATTTATTGTGTAAGCTTTTCTTATGCTATGTAATGTTTTTTTTTCTGGAATGTGTTAATATCCAATAATATAAATATTATTTATTTCATGTTTTCTCCTACATTTATTCTCTTTACAGGTGGATGGTTGGACTGAAAAACTCCAATGTCTTCAAAGATCAGGTGGTACAGTTTTGCCAACAGCAATGGATAACTTTACATCAAAGCAGGAGTCTCAGGATTACATATCTAGGTAAATATGAGAGGAAAAAAACTTAACTCATTTTTCTATTTTCCCCAAGTATCTAAGTACCTTAATTCAGTTGACACACAAAATGCAGAGCCCTTGGACTGTAATAAAATTCTTCTATTTCAGTGTCAATGAAATGATAAGAAAGCAGTCACAACAAACCGCTGCCCTGTTTATTTACCTGCCCCCTCCACCTGCAGTTGCCCCAGGACATGCAGATTACAGTATGCTACAGGCAGAATATTTAGACCTTGTTACTAAACTCACCAATGATCTTCCTCCTACTGTATTTGTGTATGGTGTAAGTGCTGTAACATCCACCACTCTGTAATTTATCCTCAATCGGTTTTAGATCCATTGTTCGTTTTTCAATGTGAGATGTTTACTTCCGCCTCTCTTGAGTATTATTTTAATTTGTCACTGAATGAGCCAAAATGTGTACTTCCTGAGACAAAATGTGATTAGATGTGCTGTCTTTGAGCGCATGTTAATGATAGATTGAAAACTTCATATGAAGTAAGTTTTAAGATATCTTTTTCTGAATGAGGGAAAGAATGCAGTGAAGCAGATTGAGTTTATAAAGGATCTAAGCAAGTTCTTGATGCCATACTATTGCACCATGTATTTTGTTGTATTGGTGAAGGTATCTGTCCTGCAAGTTAATTCAGAGTTAAAAAACTGACCACTCAAAACAAGAATTGAAAGAGACTTCTACTTATCAGTAAGTATAACTCTGAGATGATTCAAATCTTTTACATCTTCAGCAAGCTTACCTAGTGTTTCAATATGAATGCATTCCAATTGGACAAAGTTGACCTATTCTTGTTTAATTTTTTATCACCATATGACTGCATTTATATGAATATTAATCTAATAACTCTTTAGAAGCTGTTTTGTGTTCCTTATAGACACATTCTTCTCCCCACCTGCTGTCTCTTCTTTTTTCATGTGCATTTTAAACTACGTTTTTTTGTATACAATTGCACTTTTAAAAAAATATTTGTCTATGAAAGTCCTCTACTAGCAAATTTATGCAACTAAGCTGTATCTGTGATTTTCAGTACAGTATACTGTATTCAGTAAGCTTTACTTTAGTAAGATTGATTTAATATTTTGTATTCAAGTGATATTAAGTATATTCAAAGACTCTGACATTCTCAGTTTAAAATTTGAGTGAAAACTTCTTTAGACATACTGCATCTTTTGAAAACGTGCTGTCTAATTGGACTATGTTATCAACTTCACCTCCGAATCAATGGCATCATTGGGACCAAACTGCATAGCGTTAACATTGTTTTCTTAATTGCTCTTTCAACATGTAACCACATACAGCCCTATGTTCTTCTTTAAATAGAGTCTATTCCTTAAGTCTTACAATTAGTACTTTTACATATTTCCAAAGATCTCTTTTGGGGTGAATATTTTGTAATACCAACACTATATGTGAAGAGAAAAGTTACACTAATGAATTTACTGATAAGTTGTTTTTAAAACAAAAAATATATTTTTGATTGTTTGTCTGATGGCGTTTATTGTTTATTACCTCAAATGTCACTCTAAATATCCAAATCATCATCCGGGTCTTCATCATCCCAGTCATCAACGGCATCAGGCTGATAAAATACCTTTCCTCCTCCCTCTTCTGGTGGGTTGTCAACAGTACTGCAGGTAACAGAATCAAGAGGTTGGTAAAAATTATAGCCAAATTAGGTATGTGAAACAAGATTTAAAAGACTTATGACTACAAACCGCATGTAGGGAAGAATAAGCTTGTTCCTATCCTCTTTCTCCTTGTCACTAAGACTGACACGAAAACTGGCCACATCTTGTGGCAGGGTAGTATTGGGTGAACCCATACCTTTGCCAGTTCCAACAATTGGCTGTGTGTGGAATTGACCATTTGATAACAACATAAATTGCTCTTCCTAAAAGTTTAAAATTAATTAACATTCCATATCTCTTATTCTAGTCACAGAACATGTAGAAAGAGATACTTACTTTTCTTTCAACGTGACCACCAGGTTTCCGATGAGTTATGCGAGCTATTTGATTATTTAAATCTACCACTGTGCTAGCTAGGTGTTTGACATGTGAAATTGATGAAGCGCCACAAGGAATCATATCCCCATGTACAAAACAAAGCAGCTGATTAATTTTAGGACCTGAACGGTAAATAAACATTGATTAATTCTTGAAAGATGTGTATTTAATAGAAGAAAAAAAGCATGGAATTAGAATAGAGCTTCAAACAGAGTACTTACTGTTATCTATACAAGAATTAATTATCTGCTGTAATTCTTGTAAGCAAACCCCAAGGCCAATAGTAAAGAACGGGTTTGACAGTGAATCAATAACTAGATTTATTTCCTTGCAGTTGGCTGGTAACTTTTTACAAATGGTGCTGATGAATCCATTTTGCCTTTGATCTAAAATGAAGTGATTTTTTCTTTCACACAAGAATTCCCAGCCAGAAGTGAAGTGTCTCATTGAGTAGACCTCTAGCATGCTAGAGGTCTAATCTAGACTTAGACTAAACTGACATCTATGTAGACGTCTTTTTGGTCACAAAATAGATTTGATTTAGACCGTAGTCTAGTAGAAGTCCGCCAGACGTCTGCTAATATTGTAATATTTTATAATATATTTTATAATATTTACGCCGGAAAAATGGTGTGAATGGGTTGTTTTGGTGTTGAAAAGACACAACAGTACCATGGTTATACTCTTGAGAATGCCTAAGTAAGAACATTGATTGACACCTCGAAGTCTTTTCAATAATCGGGAGGAGGGGGTGCTTCCGGAGAAACAAACAAGTTAGTCCCCATCCTCTGTCAAATTAAAAAATGCGTCCAGTGCCCATTCCAACAACAATTCAAGGCAAATGCATTTTAAAACAAAGTTAAGGAATAAATAATAGAAAATCAGCTTATCTGAAACATCATTTGATTACATACCAGGATTAATCCAGCCGTGGAAATCGGCAAGGCAATCATGAACACACAAATTTGGCGTTTGCATCTCCAAGGGTTGTAATTGACGCAATGTTTTTCTTTCCCAACAAAGAACATGAGTAGGATGCTCAGATGATATGACATATGATTTCACTAGGGACAGAAATAGCGTTGATCCATTCTGGTCAGTGCAGTCTGGTAGGGGATGAAATGAGTCGCATACATAAGTTCTTGATGCTGGAGGCTCAGTAGTGTGACCTGGATATAAATCAGTTTACAATTCAGCCATGTATAAGAATATATACGAGTAACCTCAACAAAGCATGCTGCTCATGATTATCATTACCTACAAATAGAATGAAAGGACTTTGAAGTTTAGCTTCTCGAATAGTGTCCAGCATGGTTTTAGAGGTAGAATGAAACATACTTCAAAGAAGGTAAGGGATAAAGAACTTAAAGAACAACAGTTCTAATGTTTTTGTTTCGAAACTCGATCAAGCCATCTGACTGAAAATCTCCCTTCTTCCCCTCCTGTTGTCTGTTGTGAGTGCTTTCCATTTGTAACCATAGTCGACCATGGTTGACTATGGTCGCTCTGCCTTGCGTTTCATTCGGCGTAGTTGTTGACGATAGTCGACTACAGGCAACGACGCCCTCGAGCGTGGTGTTCGTAAAGAAATGAAGAAAAAGAAGAGAGATTCGGCGCGAAAAAGCACGAGCAGGAGCAAGCCACACAAAAGTCCAACTTAACATCGAGAGCCATTCAGCGAATATTTTGCCGAATTTTCGAAGCTAGGAGACCTAATTCTTAGTTCTTTCACTGCACTGAGACCTTATTTCCTATTCAAAATGAATATTCAAATGACTGAGGTAAGAGAACGTAGAAAATAATGCAATTGTTTGTAGATTGTGGTAGTAAGGTTATAGGTCTTTGTGAACTCTAGAATTTAGTTCATTCTACAGAAATGATCCTTATCCAATTCGTTTCAATGTTCTCATCCAGCCATTATCTTTTCAGCGACCAATGATTTTGACAAGGGAGGAGATAACCCGTCTCATTAAATTGGGACAGGTGCAGCTTCGCTCAAAGCCGCCTCAACCGAAGCCCTCATCATCTCAAGCTTCTTCTCAGGCAAGCAGTTCTTCATCATCTCAGGTCTTTGCATCAGCACCGAGTGAATCCCAAGGAAAACCATCGAAGGCTGAAGGTGCTGTTGGAGAGGGTACCTTTCATTGGCCGGAAAATTTAGCCAAAAAGCTTCTGGACATCGTTGTCCCCAAGAAAGCAACAGACAAAAGCAAAAACCAAACAGCATTTTGGCGTGAAGTTGCCACTGAGCTGGGTGCTGGCGCTGATGGGACTCAGTGCCGTAATAAGTATTTCAACCTAAATAAGACTAGGTCCTCAAAGAAAAGTGCTGCGCATGCTTCTGGTGGTGCACCAGCCAATTACACACCTTCTGAACTATACATGGAAGATCTCCTCTCCAAACTCAAGGATCCCATTGAGATCCCAGAAAACGCTGTGCATAAAGTCAGCTCTCCCCTGGCTCCTACCAACAACGGTGAGTCATCAGGCCAGGCTGCTGTTGAGAAGCCGTATCGCAAGAAACCAAAGACTGCTCATGGAAGTGGCACTCGCCACGCTGTGGTGAGAAATACGCTACAAAATCAATGGATTCATTACTTAAAACGGTCAGATGAGCGCCATCAATTACGTCAAGAGAAGGAGGTCAGGAAAGTAGCTCTCATGGCTGAAGTAATGGGTTTCAAGCGGGAGAAATTGGAAGTGGAAAAGGAAAGGTTGAAATTTGTGAGGAATAAATATGAGCAGAAGAAATTGATACAGAAGAGGAAGGAGGAGCAAATGAAGAGACTGATAGAGATTGAGGAGGAAAGACTTGTATTGCTGAAAAACATGCTAATTGCAGCAGAGCACTAACTTTTTTTTTTTAACTTTTCAACTTCTTTTAAGTAATGTGTTATTCGTTTAGGTTTTAAGTTAGGAGCCCAGCCCAAATTGTTGAATGGATGTCACTCATGTTCAGTCTTACAAGAACATGGTTTGACTATCCTTGAACAACATGGGCGAGGGTTCAGGAGTCAATGTATGTTCTTGTAAGACTGAATGTTGTGTGATCCATTTTTTTCTTGTGCTGTGATGTTCCTACTAATAATCTTAATTTTTTTATCCCTTTTTTTCTTACACAATATTAGTTCTGATGTTGCTGCCAATAATTTCCAATTGTTTTTGGAATTTATACTTTTATTATTAGTACTAGTGGTATGAATAGCAACCCAGCCCAAATTGTTGAATGGATGTCATTCATGTTCAGTCTTACAAGAACATGCTTTGACTATCCTTGAACAACATGGGCGAGGGTTCAGGAGTCAATGTATTTTCTTGTAAGACTGAATGTTGTGATAGCCATTTTAACCTGTGCTGTGATGTTAATTTCTCTTCATTTGTTTTTATAGTATTAGTAAGTTTTATTAGTGATAATATTTGGAAGGTTTTCAATGATTAAACTTTCTTATTTTTATAAAAGTAGCGTTTTGTTATTTGCTGTCTTTTTCCAGTCACACATGCCAATGCTTTATCCAGAATTCAACAAGTTTAAGTAAGAACTATACAAATTTTCACAGGGTTCCACATCCTCAAATATCTAGAAATACTACATACTACACATTGTTTGCATGCCTAATAACTGGATACATTTGGTCAAAGAGATCACGAGTTCGGTTTCGGTTATTCTGAATCGGGGCAGGAACAATATCATCATCATCTGAATCTCTGCCTTCACTTCCATTTCCTTCCTCAGAACCACTGTCATCATCATCATGAATGAAATCATCCGCATCATCACCACTCCTTATACACACATTGTGCAAAACACAGCAAGCCACAACTAATCTTGCAGCAAAGCCGACATCCCTTAGTCTCATAATCCCTCTCAAATATCTGAAGCGACTCTTTAAAATACCAAAAGCCTGTTCAACTACAACGCGCGTTGAGGAAACTCTTACATTGAAATCAATTTGTTCAGCAGTAAGATTGCCAAAGTCTTTGAAGGGAGTCACTATCCAATTTGTACCAACACCAACATAGCCTTTGTCCCCTAGTAGGAATGTCTCATTGGGGAAGAGATCCTCAAGGTTGCGTTCTGCAGTATTGTACAATTCCGATCTCCTCAGAACACGGGTGTCATGGAAGGAGCCTGGGTCACCACAATGTACATTCGTAAACAACATGTCAAAATTTACAACAGCTTGAAGAACAATAGAGTACCTCTCTTTGCGGCACCAATAAACCCTGCCATAGTCAATAGGTTTTTCAATAAATATGTGAGACCCATCAATTGCACCAATACATTTTTCAATACCAGCTCTACGAGCAAAGTCATCAGCAGTTTGTTGAATATTTGCCCCTCTGGGCCACACAATATGCTCAGGCATAATGGTAAGAATCCATTCAGTGATTCTTCGTATCACTCTAAACACAGTTGTTGTGCCACATCCGAATAAATTTGCAGTTTCTCTGAATACTTCATCAGAGCTCACCAGTGAAAGAAAAAGTAAGAAACTGAGCTCAGCACTTTTCTTCTCCTTGCCTTCAGGATGATTAGGGATAAAACCACTGGCATCCAAAGAGCCTGCAAAATGCATAATTAGAATTACACTAGAGACACATAGAATGTCAACATAAAAACAAATGCATATAATTTCAAAGGCACCTTACCAATGAGGTCATAAGCCACAGCACGATGAAGTCTAAAATCTTTCCGAAATTGTTCATCACTCTTTTCATGAACTACCTCTAGGAAGTTTTCAATCCTTGCTTGAGGGGCACCAAACAACAATTCTTCATAGGCAGCAAACATCTCACCCATTTCCTCCTCTTCGCTTTCTTCTTCTGATTCACTTTGAGAGCTAAACATTGAGTTATCAGAACTTGATTCTGAACGAACTGAACCTACGTCACTGTTTGAGTCGCTGCTGCTGCTACTCGAAGGCATATTAAGATAGATTCCGCGCTCTTGTGCATTCATCGCAACAATATTATTAAGATTAGCCCCCATCTGTAAAAATGCACGTTGGAAATGGCATTTTAACATTATGAAAGCACTACCACCATAGCCTAAAACAATGACAATTGTACACCCGAACCAACACATAAGTACACGTACCGTCAAATAGATCGACAGAACTATATCTTCACTTTCCTGCGCTGCTGCGTAGTATAATAGTACTCGGCTTACGGCAATGGAACAAGACAATTTTAATGATTCTGCTGGAAAATTTGAAAAAGCTGTAAGTAACGTCCACACCGATTCACAGGACGCGCGGAGTCTGCTAGCCGGTGCCTTCTCGTATTATGCCTCCTACAACTCCTAACACTACTCGAAAGGAAAGCACCATCGTTAACCATGGTTGATCATGGTCGACTATGGTCGACACAAATGGAAAGCACTCTGAATGTGAGGTGCACCTGTCAATAGCCGTCAGTAGCAGACGAAAGTAAAAATAGTTATTTCCAGATGCACTTGCCGCAGTGCCTATAATCGACCGAAGGCTGGCTGGCGGGCGGTGGGTTCAATTTGTTTTGACAAGCCTGAACAAGAATTAGCAGGACTCTTACCAACTAGTTTTAGAAAAATTTAAGGAAAGGAGGAACTTAAATTGGTATTCTTATCAAACTAATCTATTGCTATTATGTCACTACAGAATTGTCAACATGATTAGGTTGTTCTGAAAATCTCACCTGCTGACATACTTTGCTTGTATACAAACTTTGGGTCAAAAATAAATACTTTTCGAGTTTGTTTCTTTCGTCTCAAGAGCGATCACATTGAATCTAAATTTTATCGCACTTTTTCCACATAATTGAACTCAACATGTAGTGGTCCTCTGATACTGGACATCTTCATCATAACCCTTAGCTCAAAAGAGGTTAATTTTACAGAAGATTCCTTTATTACGTTAATATTAAGCTAGCTGATTATCTTTTAATCGATATTCTTTCTCTTGTTACAGGTAGATCCTTTTTAGTCCAAATTTACCATGTCGGACGAAAGGCTAGTGACAGAGGTTCCTAGCAGCCTCAAACAGTTAGCACGATTAGTGGTTCGTGGGTTTTACAGTATTGAAGATTCTCTGATGGTTGACATGCTTGTTAGAAATCCGTGTATGAAAGAGGATGATATATGTGAGTTGTTACGATTTGAAAGAAAAATGTTACGAGCTCGTATAGCAACACTTCGTTCGGATAAATTCATTCAAGTTAGACTTCGCATGGAAACGGGGCCCGATGGAAAAGCACAGAAGGTTAATTACTATTTTATCAACTATAAGGTAAATTTCTGATTTGTTTACACCATGCTTATGCATAAGATGTAGATTTGTTCTTACACTAACTTATCTGTCAATGCATTTTTAGACTTTCGTAAATGTTGTGAAGTACAAATTAGATATGATGCGTAAACGCATGGAAACTGAAGAAAGAGACGCTACTAGTAGAGCCAGCTTCCGTTGTCCCGGTTGTTTGAAAACTTTTACCGATCTAGAGGTATCACTCTATGTTTCCTTGTCATCATACGACTTGAAATGTAATTTCAATTTCAGCATACTTTTTATCTCATTTACCTTTTTACAGGCTGATCAGTTATTTGACATGGAAACAGGAGAGTTTAGGTGCACCTATTGTCGTCAGGTTGTTGAAGAAGACCAATCAGCTATGCCTAAAAAAGACTCTCGGCTTCTTTTGGCAAAATTCAATGAGCAATTAGAGCCTTTATATATTCTCTTGCGAGAGGTTGAGGGAATTAAGCTTGCACCAGAAATCCTAGAACCTGAGCCTGTTGATATCAACACTATAAGAGGGTATGTATTTTATTTTATTTTTTAAATTATTTTTTTAGATTTTACTATACACCCCAAGAGCCACGGCTCCATTTTTGGGGTTGGTATATAAACATTGTACTGTTTTTTGAGAACTTACATTATTATTAAGTTCTGTTTTATTTGCATATATTCATTTGTTTGAATGATTTGAGTTGGAAACCTTTTTTTTTCTCTTTACAGGATTGACTCTAAGAAATTATCTAGTCAAAGACCTTCTGGCGAAAATTGGTCTGGGGAGGCTACAAGAAGTCAAGGTTTTGCTGTTGAAGAAGCAACTGTCGATGTCACTATTGGTGATGAAGATCCCAATGCTACATCTGCAGGAATTCCAAGGAAAGAAAGGCCAGTCTGGATGGTAGAAAGCACCGTCATGTCATCAAGTGACCCTACAGTAAGTTTTCATCCAAGAATTTAGAATTCTGAAATTAGTAATAATAACCATACCTCTTCAATCATAATTTTTTTCCCTCTTCAGAAGGATCGTTCGGAAAGCGGATTACCTGATATAGCAGCAGTTGCAGCTGCAGCAGAGAGATCATCAGCTTCATTAAACTCTGGAAAGACAAGCACTGCAGCAGGGGAAGATATCATGTCAGTGTTATTGGCACATGAAAGACCAAGTGAACCACCAAGCAACACTGTATCTATCTCAGCTGCCACAGCCCTTGGTATGAAATCAGAAATTGATATTGACATCAAAGTGGAAAAAACCGAGCCTGGTCAGTGTTTTAAAAATGTGTTTTGTTGATCAATGAATACCATTTACTTATTATGTACCTCTGAATACCTTAAATCTAACCTAACTTTTTACGACATTACAGAAACCATGGATTCTGATGATGATGACATGGAACCTACGGTTTCAGTTGGTGGTAAAATTGTCCCACTGAGTGAAATCAACGATGATTTGGTGGCTAAGATGACTCAGAGTGAAAAAGATGCCTACATTCAATTGTTCCAAGATCATTATTCACATGTTTATGATTAATTTGACTTTTTATTTATTAGGTATAATTAACATGAAAATTTATCACAAATTTGTTTAAATGTTGTTTATTGCCTCTGTGTGTTAGCTATCAATGAGAATATGTGAGTGTTGATTTTTGTTCCATTTCAACAAGTAAATAATTTGGTAGGTCTCTATTCCTCTTAATAGTTCTATTTTATCAAGCAAAACCCAATTATTGATATTTTCATGAAAGCCTTAGAGAAGAGAAATGATATTCTTTCAATTTATTTGCATCTGCCAGCTACATTCTGTTCGTAATCTCTCTGTTATTGTTTTGTACCACTGTTAATGTGCATCTTGGACCAACAAAATGTTGGCAAACATTAGTATGTATCTACAATTAATGTTGTAAGATGTCTTTTTGTTTTGAAACACTTGTGATATTTTTTGTAAGCACATGTCAGTGTGTGTTCGTGTTTTGAAAGTATAGTTTGAGACTGATGGTGAAACGAATTAGCACTTATTAGTGTTCTACAATCACACTGGAGAAGGGTGGTACCTATTTTTTTCATTCCTGTTCTGAGCTGAGTTCAATCTGATTTCTTAAGCAAAAGTACAGTCAGATACTGGACAAGGATAAATTCATGCTCCATACTCAATTTCTACCAGTTTACTGAAAAAAAAATTGCTTGTGGATTGATTTCTTACTCATAATTTTGTTTTGCTGTCTTTAAAAAAATATGTCCATTTCACATTTTAACTCAGTTGTTCTACATGGAGGTGTCTTTTAGTTCGGTCTAGGCCGGGCTAGGTGAGGCATCTGCTGGCGAAAGACTAGCATCTCCTCTGGGATCGCCTCCTTCCACACTGACTCCCGCCCCACTCCCAGCTGCTGGTGCAGTAGCTTCAGCCGCCAGGGACTCAGCTACGGAAGCTTGAGTTGCATCTGCTTGTGCAGCAGGCGCTGTCGGTTCTGCCGAGGCTTCTGCGGCATTTGTCGTTACCCCGATAGCTCCTGCATCTGCAGGGGAGGCAGGGGCCTTTGGATGCGGCGCTGTAGCGTGCCTTGCTTGTCCTTTGGCTGACGCCTTGCGGCCCGCAACCGTGGTCCCCTTGCCTGGAATAGTAGCATAAGAGCACAAGTGTACCACAGGCACCACTCAAACAGGAAGTGTCAGTGCTCATAATATTTGAAGCCGTCAGAAAAGGCTATAACAATTCATTTCATTGTCACTATGGTGCCATCGACCAGATCGGCGTGGCAGCTTACTTCGGTGTATGTACTGTGTATATACCAATAGTTTTCCTCCCTGTGTGAAGCGCAATATTATTGGGGATGCTCACCCTTACCCTTGTGGTGGGCGGGCTGTGCTGCCGCCGGGGCTGGGACCAGTAGTGCCAGCAGAGCTAAACTCAAGGCAATACCGAGGAGGACGCGGAGGGAAGTCCTTAGGATGGCCATGGTGGTGCGCGGCGGCTAGGCTGACTGGACGGGGGAGTGAAGGAAAGTGCCCGGCGGGGGCGGGGCGGCCGCACGTAAGGGTTGCGTTCGACAAGTCGACAGACCGGTTCCCCCTCTCTCTCTTTCTCAAAGGTGTATGGGTCGCACGTGGTCCTCGGCACCTTATCGCGCCACCACGCATCAACGGGGCCCAACGAGTACCACGGTGCACGACCCAGCGAAAAACCTACGCTTTAACCTCGAACAGAATTTGAACTGGTGTGAATGGCGTTGATAACAAAAGAAAGGGAAAAGGCGAAAAAGGAATAATCCAGTTAAATTTGATAAACATATTATTTGGCTTTTTAGTTCACATAAGAAAAAAAAAAGTAATACCTCCATTCCAATAATATATCACAGTGTCTTTTCAGCAAAAATTGTTTCAGAAATTATTAAATTATTAGATCAAGTCATAAAACAAACTTAGCAAACCATATGGCTGTAAAAATTATGACAGGTTTCCAAGAAACAAAGATTCATCAAGAATTGGTCAGATTGTAGGTGACATCACTGTCAGTTAGTCACAACTATATGTACAATTCAGATTATGTTATTCAATGTAATTTTGACTTAATTTACATGGGTTAAGCAAGTTGATTGCACGGTTTAGACAGGCTACGATTGTCATATAGTGGATATGTTCTAGTTGAAAATCAGCCAATCAGAGGCCTCGAAAACCCACTCGAACGTATCCAATAAATGACAATCGTAGCCAGTCTAAACCGTGCAGATATTAGTATCAAACAATTACATTGAATCCAAACAACAGTTAGAACAGGGTTCGTACCTGGTACAAATTTCTAGTTTCCCTCACATTTTCCCTTGATTTCTAGAAATCACATTGGAGCAAGAAAACGCCACAAAATAAATCTATTTTGACTCTAAAATGAGTACAAACCCAACAAAACATTAATTTAAAATAAGCAAGAAGAATTTGGCTCCCCTTGAACTTTTTCCACACCCAGAACAAATTTTTCTGACTTCCACACAACACCTAGACTAGCACAAACCCTGATTAGGAGAGATTACCTCCCTATCAAGGCAGAGTAGTAATGTTATTTATCATTCAACAGCATAGAACTCGTCCCAAAATTTTGTTAACATTTGTGTTATGATTAAACGTCTAAAGGAGCAACAGAAAAAGAATATTTAAATGACTGCAAAATTAAATTCTTGCCAATCATGCTTCACAATAGACTGTAGTTCTGCTGATGTCGTCTGAAGAAAAGATACACTAAAATACAATGATATGAAATTGAAATTTTAATCAGGTAAATTGTAGCCATTTTCAGAGTTGTTAATGTTTTTAACCATAGGGAATATTTTTTTGTATGAGTAGGATGATAATTTCTAATAGAAATGCCCTTTCACACAAAAAAAATTACAAACACAACAAACAGATCCACAACTTGATGGTAGAAAAAAAATATTCTCCCATCTTGAAGTTATGTACTATGGTCTTCATCAAGAATGTATCCTCTGATGAATGGGAGACCGGTCCCAGTTTTCTGTTGATAATCATGATATTCAGCGCCGAAAAAGTTAAGCAACGTAATTTCTTCATAAAATATTCTTTCACGAAAAAACGACCAGCTTACTATAGCATATCCTACTATACAAATAGGATTAATTAATAGAACCTGAAATAACCACAATGAACATAAACAAAGAAAAAACTTTATCAGTATGTTTATATAAGTGAGGGTTATGAAAAATAAAGGGGGATTTATGATCGCAGCGCGAGCGTATCTTCAACGCCAATGTTGAAGTAAGGCTGGGCAGGGTGAGGGGGTGTGGAGGAGGACCTTCCAAGTGTTGTTTTTGAACTAGCAGCAGGGCTATGCTTGCTGCATTGCGATCGTAAATCAACCTTAACTGAGTGTAAAATGGAACTTACCTGAGATCCAATGGACCAAATAAACCATCCAACATACGATGGATGTCTCATGTATTGATAGACTCCATGAGTCACAAGTACATGACCATCAGCATGAACACTTTGGACTTCGTGATTAAAGTTTGAACTGGCAGTCCACATGGCAAGTTTCCGAAGAAATTCTCCAGAAAAACACATGACAAATCCCAGAACACTAAAATACCACATAGTCTTCAAACCTAAAAAATTCAGAATCAAATGTATAAAAAATTGTTACAAGATACAATAAAAAAAAAAATTTGGTCATGAAAATTTAACTGCATTACCTGGAAATAGATATAATTCCACAAAAAATTCTATCCAGCATGCAATAGCTGCCACCTTGTACTCTAAACCATTGTCAAGAACAAATGATCGCACTGAGAGTGATTTAGGGTTGGTTACAGCTATTGCAAGAAATTCAGTGAAGTGAAACATTGACAAAAAACATGTGTATCTGAAAATAAGCAAACATTTGCAGTTATCTGATGACACAAACTTCAGATTAGGAAAAATAGGTAAAAATGAAGACTTACATTCCCATGGGTTTCAGCGCACTTGAACCCAGGTCGACTAAAACAACACCAATTGAAAAGACAAGACCTAGAAGTGTAGCGCGCACCCCGACCTAGAAAAAGAAAGGTCAAGTTCAAAAAATGCAAGTAGGAAGATAAAACTCCAAACTTTTGATCCAAACATGGAGGTACTGCACAAACCCTGTATTCTTCATCTACAAGAAAAGACTTCAAGTAAAGGTAATCTATACACAGAAAAGCTGGCATTAATGCTGCAATATGAAGAAAGGTTCGAACAAATAGGAGAGCAAGACATGATGATGCTCCCATTAAAAAACAGTTTAGACTTAAAAATGTATGTTGATGGACCGCCATGATGCAAATGAATACAAAAAAAAAAAAAAAAAAAAAGGGATGTAAATAAACAACAAACGAAGCCGCTCTTCAAGCACAGCCAACACACTAGCAAGCAGGCACTACGATTCAAATGATTGTCTCTCGAAATATTTTCAAAGATTGAACAGTGTAATTTTAATCTCAAGAAATGAAATAAGAATTGGCAAACATTTGATGCTACACAACTTTCTTCAAGAATTAAATTTGTATTCTTGTGTTCTTGTGTTTGTAGTGGTACACAGCCGGCTACCAACAAATTTGAAATTATCGTGCCGTTTTTTGTTATGAATTGTCAAACAAATCAGTCCCAATCAGCAATTCAGTCGTTCAGCCGCGATAACTTAAGGAATGAAAGAAGAAAAGTGTTCCCGTTGTTTGTTGGGTTAAGCTTTCTCTTGTATGACTCTGTTATATTTATGGTCGCTCCCAGCTTTGCGTCAACATAGGGAAGGCAATTTTTAGTGTTTGACAGAATGCCCGACAAATCAGGTGGTCTTAAAAATGTCCAGAAATCTTTCAAGGATGTCGAAACGCTTAAAAGAGAAGAACGGAATAGACGACGATTGTTCCGCATCGAACAGGTAATCATTCATCTCCTAACCTCTCATACTTTTGTGAATGGTATACTCTCATACTTGACAGTTTTGCAGCATTTTACATATCGTTGTACAAGTGACTTTTATCTGTTTAGGTAAGACAGCAGTCGAAGGAGGTAGCAAATCTTGTACGTCAGAAAGTCAGTGGTGAACGAGAGAAACAACTTGGAATAGTGCAAGAGCGGGTAAAAGCAAAAACACAACAGTGGCAAGTTCGCAAATTGAAATCTTTGCAATCTGAGTATGAAAACACCATACAGAATGTTGGTAAAAGTCATACAGATGCAGCTTCTTTGGTATGTTTAAGAAAATATGTTTCTTTAGGTTAATTACTCACATCACTTACTTATTAGCTTATCTTCAATACTTTGTTGCAGCCTAATGAGGATGATTTGCGAAAAATTGAATCGGAGAGGACTTTAATTGCAGCCCAAAGAAGGGGACAGGATGCTTTGAACCGTCTGAGAGAAGAAGAGGCAGCCCGACGCCGAGCTGATGAAGAGAGAAGGCAAAATTTATTAAATACAAGGGCTGTTGAGGAAGCTCGTTCAGCTGCTGTAGTGGCCTTACCAAAACCTGAGTCAACTGTAGGCATTAAAAGGTATATAAAGCCCACAATATTTTATTGCCAGATTGTACATGTTATTGTCCTGTTCTCTATCGTTTTCATCTATTAAAATTAATAACTTCTTTGCAGTATTCCACCAAAATCACCAATTCCTGTAATGGCTCCAGTACCTAGTAGCATTATAGGAAAGACTGTCAGTAAAAACACCATTCCTGAGTGGCCAAAGAAATCATGGCCTGCTCAAAGCTTGCCACTTGGGATTAAAACTGAATGTCAAAATGAACAGGCAAGATTCATTCAAGAAAATTATAAAACCTTAAAAGATGGTACTTTTGCCTATGCTGTACTTAAACTGACTGCTACTTTTTCCAGGGTGACATAGTTCAAACTGTTCATGAACGGGGAATGGGCAGTAATTCTCCCTGCAAACAGCCATCATCTATTCTTGTGTCATCTCATGGTGATTCCATGAATACTACAAGGCAAAGAAATGTGCCACACAGTTCTCAATCTTCAAAGTCTACTCAACCATCTGGACCCATGTATGTCTCTTTACATATTCACATAGCGCACAATCTATTCTACCGGATATAAGATTAATCAAAATCAACCAAATACTAACAAAATTTGGATGCAATTAAATATGTCACACATGTTTTGTTCAAAATAATCATAACTAGTTTGTTTTATGTGCCAGCATTTTCCGTTTTTATGCACGGTTTAGACTGGCTACGATTGTCATTTATTGGATACGTTCTAGTTGAAAATCAGCCAATTAGAGGCCTCGAAAACCCACTAGAATGTATCCATTAAATGACAATCGTAGCTAGTCTAAACCGTGCATTAGTTTTATTGTGAATTCTGTTGCTGATTGGAAAACATACTTAAGCATCTATAGCTTGGTGATGGTTAGGCCTAGGGTTACCAAATATTACTCAGGGATAATTCTAGCTTTAGCTGGGCACCTAGCACTTACCTTAAAATATTTATGTAAATTTGATGTTTGTTTCAGGGCTAATACTTCTCATTCTGATGTCCAACTTTATGACTATACTAGTTGTTACCAAAGTCAGTATGGCAAGATATCAAGCATTGTGGAAAAGGTGCCGGAGTCAGAAGTGGTATGTATCTATCAAACTTTTCACATGTTTTTATTCTCCCTGATGATCCAATACCCCATGTACATTCTTTTTTTTCAGCTGAATGCTAATGAAGCAGCTAAAAGAGAACTTTGTGCTGAGAAGTTCTGTCAAGCACAGTCAAGCATAGTTCGAAGGGAACAACTAAGAAGTAAAGAGGCTCTCCAACGGATACAGGTGCAACGCGATTATAAAGACATCATGGGAAACCTTTCAATGCTTGCTAAACAGAATGCAGCTATTAGTGCATATAAAGATCCTCCAGTTCAATCATGGATTCAGGTAGAACACTTCAAAGTCCTGATTTCAGGAAAAGTAGAACTATTCTTACTCTTAGGTTGTATCTAATTTTATTGTTTGCCTTTTTTGTATGTGCTTAGAGTAAATCCCAAAACGAAAAATTAACTAGTGCTGTAGAAAATTTACTGCAAGGTGTTGAAGCAAGTCCCTCTAGCAGTGTTTCAGAAACCCCCTCTGACTCCCCAGGTAATTTTCTTTTCAAAACCAGCAAATTAGATGAATAACCTGAGTCTTTGTTTGAGCTTTTATGTTTCTCATGATGTTTCTATGTCATTTTTGTAGATGGATCTTTAATTGTCTCTCAACTAGGAGACACACCAGGCAGTGCACCGCGGCTGAATGTAGGAAGGTGGCAAATTCCAAACTTACAAACAGAACAAGTTGCACCTCCAAAAGATGACTATTCCCCTACAGGCTCTATTGTAATGGCACCTCCTCCTGCACCACATTTTACAACAATCACCTCTCGTCAAGAAAATACGGAAAGGGATTCGGCATTGAGGAGTCTTGTTCGCCGAATTAATGATGAGAGACAGTCTTTTATTTTAAGTCAACCAATTGGTTCATATCAAAGAAACCAGAATAATACATCTATCGACAAAACTGATTCAGATGTCAAAATGCTGGAGGAAAGAGTTTTTCTACAACGACAGCAACTGAGAGAACAACGGTCTGAAGTGAAGCACTTAAATGAAAGCATCATAGTTCCTGACTGTATGAAGCAACCAAGAAGGGAAACTCATGTTTCTCCCTCTACTTGCAGCACTGTGACACATGAGAGCATAACAATTGATTCATCACACTCAGGAGATTTCCAAGATATTAGAAATTCTTCACCTTTGGTTCCTCCAGAAGTGTTACCTCAAAGAGTAAAGAAGAAGCAAAACAAACGAGCCAAATCAGTTGTCAAATCTCCTGTCAGCAGTCCAGCAAAAGACAACATGAAGTACAGCCTCGATGTTTCTCTTTCCTCTGTGGTCATGGATCAAACTGAAAATAGTAGTTCTGGCAGCAAATCTCTATCGCTTCATGGTGTTCAAGTTCTGGTAAAACTGTGTGGAGCTGGGCAAGATTCTTCTGAGGGCAGTTCATCTAGGTATGGTGCTAGAGAAGATGAAACTGTGAAAGTGGTTGAGCTACCCAGTAATGAAAGTGATAAAAATGTTCAAGATGATCTTGAGAAAGAAGAAAACCATCCTATTTTAAAGAATCTCAAAGAGGTAAAGCATAGTATCAAGAAGAAAAAGGGGAAAAAGATAAAAGAAGTATCCAATACAAAAGTATCTAAACCTCTCAGTAATGTCACATCTAAGAAAACATCAAAATCAACTAAGATAGGCGAGAAACAAGAAGCAGAGAAAGTGAATGGTTCAAAAAGAGATGATAAAACTGCAAAACTTGCTCATGAACAGCTGAGAGCAGAAAAAGAGAAGCAAGATCAACCAGAATCCACAAGTACTTCCTATTTAAGCCCTCCTGATCGTGTTATATCATCTCTTACTGAAGATATAAAGGCTCTTATAGCTCTTGCTCAATCCAACATACAACCCCAGTTCAAAAACGCCCATAGTTCAAACAAAAGTCAAATTCAGCAGTATATCAACAGACTGCTTGCCATGAGCAGAGAAAGTATTGACAGACTAAATGTTAGCTGTAGTGAAGTGTCAACTCCTGCTTCTGCCATTTTTCATGAATCTGGACCAGAAAATGAAAGTGACCTTAATTTGACAGACATAGGGTTTGCAGTTCTTGCTGATAAAAAGCCTTTAAAATGTAGAGATTTGAGTCAAGGTCAAGAGGCTACTATAACTGATTGCCCTGACAGTTTTAGCAGTGACAATCATATAATTCACATAGCGCCAGAGGTAGATCAGTCATTTCAACATTCTGAATCCAATGATAATGCCACACTAACTGACATGACAAAACAATGCCATGAAAGAATTTCCGCTTTAACAAAAATGATTGAAGAAGTGAGAAGAGAAACTGTGGTCAGTTCAAACTCTCATTCTCATAGTGAGAGTGACAGATCATTTATCCCTAACCAATCGAAGAGCCCTATGCATTTTGATTCCACAACGTACATGAGTCCTCCTCCACAAGTGTTGGAATGGGCGGACATTGCTTTTCCTTCAAGATTTGGTGAGATAAGTGGAATGTCAGTTGATCCCTATGGTACAGCAGTCAGGCAACTGCTTGCTGATGTACAAAGTCAAATGATTCAGAAGGCAACAGACCCTTCAGTTATGACAGCTTCTCTTCAAGATAATCAACCAAAAGAACGGATTGAACTTCCAAGTGAAAATCGACCCAAACCACCTGTAGCATTCTGGAAGAATATTGAGAGGTATGTATCAGTTGCTGGAATGTTTAGTCTATCAACTGCAGTATTTGGAGTTACTGTTAATTATGTCTTATCTGGTTATTCAGGTGCAATGTTTCTAGTCCTACAGAGCCTCATGAGCTTTCTACGATCCTAGAACTAGGAACAACCCTTCCAGAGAGTGTTGAATCTCCGGAACCTGGATTTGCTTCTCCACTCCATCTTATGTCTCGACCATCAACGCCAGGCACTCCACCTGATGTAATTGCAGAACTTATGCGCAGAAAACTTCTCACAAGCCCTTTTGTCTGGGCTAAGCAGAAAGACAAGCAACATCAAAGGTCAAATTCAAATTCATCTTTAAAAAATAGTCTTGATTCTGATCTGAGTTCTGTGAAATCAGGGACAGAACAGTCTGATATATCAGCTAGTAAAGAAACTAACACTGTATCAGTTCAAAGTCAAAACTCTAGCTCTAATGGTTCAAGGGGCTGGAAGACTAATATACTGATGTCTCCTGTTGACTTATGTTCATCAGCCGATGAAGTTGAGGGCGACTTCAGAAAAATGGGTATTGGTTGGGTTGGTGCTATGCTTCGGAAAACTAAAGAGGCTGGGGCACTCAGCTCAACATCTGGCTCAGATGGTTCTCCTGTTAAAATTGATAATGTCGACTTCAAAGACCTTGCTAAAATGATAGATGATGAACCAGTTCTTAGCAGTCCTCTTCTAGCTACTGTTGTACAGGGAAGACGTCATTCTACCCCTGTGAAACATCCTGCTGACCACAGTTCCTCTAGTGGATCATGTCTAGTTTGATGAGAACTAGCCCATATTACAAAGGATAACTAGTTTATTTGATTTTGTTTGTCTTGAAATTCTAGTACAATTGCCAATGCTGTACATCATATTTTCTTGCCCTTTTATTGAAATGTCACTTTTCTTCAAATTAAAAATAAATAAATTAAAAGAATGCAAGAAAGCATGATTTACTAATCAAGTGTATAAGATATTTCTTTGCTGATGTATATCTGAAGTATATTTATTTATGTTATGTTATTATCCTTTTGTCTTAAATTCTGGGAGCATTTTATTTTTTCCAATGAACAAAAAAGAAAGACTGTGATCTGTTAGTTTTAAGTTCAAATAGTGTGAACAATATAATAAATACATTTGTATCAATCAAATCAAATAGCCTCAAATCTTAGCAGTCCCTGCCTGTGATTGATTCACATAGTGTATAATCCAACATGGTTGGATTTTTTGTTCGGCGGCGCCAATTGACTCAAAAAATATTTGGTAGTATGGCCAACAGTTTCATTGAGAAATACCCACGACGTTACCGGCACGCTTGTTTTGCAGGCCTGGGCTGCTCTCGACCTAGCTCTTCTCTCCGCCCATTTTGCCCCCTTGCCCCCATCCCTGTCTAGACGCACCAGGTCATAAAGTGGCTGTAAGGCGTGTAAGAGATAAGCGAGCATGCGATCAACGCACTTCTAAGGAAGTAAGTTAACGTTTTTTATTTGTCTTTTTACAGGCTACGCGCTCATTTTTCTTGATTTCATATGGTAATTCGTTAAGTATCTCGTCATACATATTCCAGTTTTACCCACCCAAATTGCGGATACATTTACGTGCCTTTTTTAGGGGAAAGTGTCGACACAGTGTAGAATTCGGACGCACACATTGTTTAAACTGTTAATGTCGCCATTTGTTCTGACCTCATTCAAAGCGCAACGACATATACCCCCCCGCATGAAAACGTGTTTTTGAGGCTCGCATAAAAACACATTGTCGACGTACTGCC